GTGACCTTGGCTTCAATCAAAAGTGCCACAAAGTGTCTCTCCACCAGTGGAGATAGTGATGCCACCCCTCATATCTGGTTCACAAGGTCTGTAACTCTCACTCCTACTGGTTTGCTGTAGCTGATGATGGTGTCATAGACCCAAAGTCCTCCACTGATGCTTGACTGCTTAGATCAGAAGTGATAGACTAATCTTAACAGATGTATAATGTCAGCATATATGTATCATAGTCTCTCACCTCAATCACATAGCATTTTCTCAAAATTTGAAGTCAGCTGATCTCACTAGGAGGCACTGCTTCTTCCTCAAGACTTCTACACCGGAAGAGCTGACACATTTAAGAGGGACTCCTGAGAAGATGACATTACAATTTTTCTTTTTGCTACATTCAGATACATTCTGGAAAGAAACCCTCACAAATCATTGTTGAAGGAGACGGAGCCTAAGTCTTAGGAACAAGCCTTCCTACTCCGAAACGATGATTAAAATGCAATCTATTACTTCAGTCTGACTCTGACGAAGAACTGTTGTCTTTTTCTTTTGGCTTTATTGTCACAGTCACACAGCATTTTGCACAATCAAGTCTAAAAAATCTAAGTTCCCATACTGACCCCTCTATACTCTATGAAGTCTCTACATCATTCTTACCGCTCAGTCGACGCGTCGTGTACTCGGTACAAGTGCCCAAACGCCTACCAGCGTGCACATCATCGACACAACTCTAGGGACATATTTCAGTTCAAAAGCTTCTGGTATCTGGGAGTACCTGGCGCTTACAATGGCTGCAATGATCTGATTCCATACCGAGATGCCAATAGACCCGTTATGAAAGGCAGGGCCGCTGATCCCGACATACCAATTCCTGTAATCCACCCGACACTTTCGGTCAATAACCATGCAGGGAGTATTCGTGTTGCATGGCCGACAAGTATCGGGAACATGGGCCCCAGTAGCAAGCCAACGAAAGAAATCTGGAAGGAGGTTTAAGTGAGAAGTGTCATGATACAGATGCAACGTCCTTACTGCAACTCCGTTCTCGATGATGGAAGGAACAAACCACACGGTCAGTTCCAGTCTGGGTTCCCGTTTAGCATAATGGATGTGTGAGAAACCGGTAATACATGGCCTGACTTACACTATGGCAAGTAGAGTATATACAAAGACGACACGGTGCTCTCCGACCTGATCAAGAAATTAGACCTTGTTTCGATAACTATGGAATGCCAGATACGAACTTTTTTGCTGAGCCATATGAGGCACAGCCGGCCCAGAGTTAGTCCTAAAGGAAGAACACGTCTGACCAAACACCAACAGAAATAGTGGAAACGTTGCTCACCACCAAAGAAACCAGAGGAGACGTATCCCGCACTCTTTCCGCCTTCTCTCTCGTTGATTATGAACGTAACGATCCAGCCTGAAAAAGCTACATCAGCACCCGAGGAGGATCCACGCACGAATACACCAACCACCCAGAGTAACCTCAGTACCGATATAGATGAGGGCGAAAAAGGCAAGGAAATGCACAGCTTTGATTTTAAGGATTGAGCTGTACACGTTCTCATCTCGAGATCCTGCAGTATCAGACTCTCCTGGTTCCTGACCAGCTTCCACGAGGAGGACTAGATATATAATCAGTTTCTGATCCAATCACAATGATGGACCATGGCAGCTCTTACCTTCCTGCGTCTTGAAGCGAAACACCAATGCAAGGATGACCGAGTTCGAGATTGCAATACCAGTGGAGATGATGAAGTGATACGACCAATGCCGTTCATACGAAAAGTGGGTTGCAACCAATGGAGAGACGAACGCGCCCACGCCTATCGATAAGTGTTAGTCCTTCATCGCTGATTATAGGACCGTATCATTCACCGTATGCAGCATGAAGCATATTAAGTTTCGTCGTTTTGTGCTCTTTTAAACTGCCAACGAGGCCGTTTCCTTGAGCATTCTAGTTGAACGAAGGTAAGCGGACGTAATATATGCTCTCGGGATTATTTACCTGTAGAGACATGCCAAAACCAGCCAGAGCGTATGCCAGGACCATAACCGGGAAGGGGGGCTGTGGACTTTCCATCGCGTACGACACGACTTGGAAAAGGGAACCGATGAACACAACCTGCTCAAAGTAAGCTTTCATGCTCGATCAAAAGGGAGAACTAATACCTTTCCAAAGCCATATCTTTCATTGAGATATACATTGGCTCCCGCACCAAGGACAAATCCCTGTTCAGATTGAGGTGTTATAGCTGTTCTAGTAATGCGCACTCACGATGCAATTGAAAACGAAGAGCAAAGAAACAATGGCAAAGTTGATCTGTACTCTTGAGTTAACGTATCATCCAGTGATGTTGAGAAGCAGACGGCAAACCCGATAAGACTCTTGGATGACAGGGATCAGTGGACCCGTTGTACCATCGTTCCACCCCTCTGAAAATATTCAGCATTCGAATGGATCCAGCATCCACGATAACACATACCCAAGAAGAAACACCAACAAATGGCAGCGAACTGAAGATTCGCTTGCCTCTTGTAGCTCTTTGACCTTTCAGACTTGACGACTTGCGCTCGATGGTGGATGGTCGGAATCGCTATTCCCATGTTTGTCGCGGTCGCAGTACGAGACTTCAGATGTACATCCTGGAGAATAGGCAAGGATTGTTCGGGGACGAGATCCTTGAGAGTAATGGTATCCGCAGTTGAGTCGTTGCGGAGGGCGGAAGGTCTCCTGGTGCGTTCAGTAAAATATTCTGGAAGGGGATGCAGTTCGTAGGTTCCTCCGTTGTCCACGCTAGCAGTAGAGATCTTGCGAGCTCGGCGGCAAGGTGGAGCGGTGAAATCGATCGACTCGCTAAGATCAACAGCTTCCTCATCTACTTGGACTAAGTGAAAAAACGCTTAACCTCCGTTGGGTAAGTGATCAAGAATCAAGAACTTACGATGGCTGGGTCGCTCGACGACTGGATTGACGGCCACAGAGAAGGACGACATGAGGCAGAGGAGGGAAATGGCGAAAAACTGAGACGACAAAATGTTGCAAACTTATAGAGCCCGTGTCGGACCGGTATAGGCCAATAAAAAATCAGCTGGTATTTTACCCCTGTACGTGAATTATTTACGGTTCTCCTGGTCTAGTCGATAAAAAGTCGGTTCGATGTTTCGATGGAAACTATCAAGCGACGATGTTTGGTCATTTTTTAATACAGTGTGAAAGCGATAGGCTGATTGGCCTCGTTGGATCAGCGGGAGCAATGAAATGAAAATCACGAGTTCGGCCGGGCCTGTCAAGTCACGGCTCAACCTTGGATAATCTACTGGTCTCCTTCATGTCGGAATTCTTCAGACCAAGCTGGGTTAGGGAAAAGGTGTTGGTACGTAAACGGAAACGCAGCAAGGAGGGAAGGGGGTTTTATTCAGCTCACGCGCCTCGTTCCCGGAAACGGATGACAAAGTGTCAAGCAATGAGGATTGAATGGCCTTATAGACTGATTCGTATCGCGAAGCACTGAGAATATCTGTGATCACAGGAAAAACTGTTAGCACTGGGAAGCAACGGAGAAGGAATGCGGGATGCGGCAAGTCCACAAAGCCTTTTGCAAAGTAAGACTGCCAGGGCCGTTTACGTGACGAGCCACATCACACAATAAAAACGTTAGGTGCAGGGAAATATGACACTATTCTTCCAACCTGGTCATGGAACTCGGCTAACGAAGCTCCAGTGAGAAAACGGCTTATCATGTTCGGCTAGTCCAGATTAAACACAGTAACCCAAGAGCGAATCAGAATGAAGGTAAGTGATCTGTAACCTCAAAGCCCGAACACCCCGTTGAGATATGAAGTGTCTTTTGAATTTTACATGAGCAACCAATGCCTCGAGTCTTCGATTACTGGCAAAACATCCTACAATCAGGGAATAGTCAGTCTGTCCCATTTAGCTTCCCCACTGCCCAACATCGATATCTGCAAGAGCAACTTTTAGATAGAGCAAAGATTGCGGTTATATAAATGAACGAACCGATTCCCGAAACTCATTACCGTTCAACTTTCAACATTGGTAGACGGTACCATTCGTCAGGTTCTTATCCATCTTCTAATCATAAGCACTATGGAGCGGACAGTGAAGTATACTCATCGTCTTGAATTGAGAAGGAACAAACCTATTATTCAACACCGCACTAGAAACTATGGCAACTATGGATATGATGTACTGGAAAAAGCGATCTCTCAAGCAGGCAAATGGGTCGAAGCGAACGGAGTCAAAGTCCACTAAATCGTTACAGAAGAGAGATAAGAGTGGCTGTGCTTTTCCATTCTTCTTCCGCTCACTCTATGTCGCAAACTGGTGTCGACTTTGCGTTTGCTGTCAAGCAAGAGGCTGCCTACCTTCGTCTAGTACATCCAACTCCAGATGATATTCCCTCCTGCTTTAGTTTGATGGAACTCGCAATGGGCTGTCACGGTACGGTGCTTCACCGGTGCCTGTTGACGACCATACTGAACCGTATCAGGCATTCGTTCGCAGGTGAAATCTTGGTACCGATACGGCGAATCCTCACAGTGTGCGCATAAGCACGACGACTTCAAGTTCTGCCTCAGCATGAAATGGATGGAGAGCGACCAGCGGTACGAAGCGTGGATTAATAGGCGGGCGGAGTGGTGGGCGAAGAGAAGGCTGGATAAGAGCAGCGAGGATGTATGGGCTATGCGAATGTTCGTACATTTACCAGTACTATCCAGGGAGCCTCGAAGGTCATTCCCCCGGCCTGTTACAGACGACGAGATACGACAAGTCTTAGAAAACACCGAAGAGACACTCATGTAATTGGCTAGACTTCTGTATTTTCCCTTGACTTTCTCTATTTTTACATGTAAGGTGCGTGGCTCGTTGTCAGCAATGAAGAAGTCGTGCACTTTGAGCTGCTTAGCTTTCTGTGAAACTCATCAATATATATTACAATGAACTATGATTTACAGAGACAGTAGTCGGTCAACTGAGTCGGCTACGACAATACAAATAGCCCAAGGTGACCCTTTCCCATGCCTTCCATATCTTTGATACCACTGTAGACAACACGTTGGTGCCGGACACCACTCTTGACATCTACCAACTGTTTCTCGACCTCGCACTGTAGGAATACCAAGTCCGGGTCAGTCCAGTCTCAAAAAAAGAAATAACACATGTACATCACCCTCCAGAGCGCCATGGACTACCAGCACTGACCGTTCCAGGGTCATTCGATTCCCGACGAAAGCGAGACAGTGATGATTATCCTTGAAAATGAACGGAACACCTTTCAGATCCTTCAACCAGTGTTCGATACCATCAGGTTCTAGTGATGTGCCGGCCCTAAGCTCCAGGCTTTCTGGATGTGTATATAAGTCATTGACTGCAGTTTTTGCTCTCATTCAGAGGTGTAAACTCAAGAAACACACCCAGATAGAAGCATCCACTGTGCAGGTCTCACCAGCTCCAACGGTTGCATACTCCTGTAATGACAGTGTGCTAATTGTTTAGGTCTCAGTCATGAAATGATAATGATTTTTGTGCAGCAGTGTAGGTGAGTAATACTCATTCATCTACACTGAATCTGAATGGCATTAGTAGCTTGAGGTCCATCATGGTGTTCGTCATCCCATAAATCAACGTTCCTGATGGGAGGTGTCAAGCTCATACAGCTTTCTCTATGTTTACATTAACATCGTGGAAGTTGAGGTTTGCAAGAAGCATTGATATTGATGAACAGATGTTTTGATATCGCCGAAGATGTCCTCTTCCACGCCTATAATGCGATGCTTCTGTGCTTCAGCTGTTCGTTTGGCGGAAGCCAACGTAGCATCTATGCATCAATGCAAACCGACGCCACCGAGGAGGATCCCGTTTCCTCGAGCGCTCTGTATGGCACTGCCTTTACTATGGTGGTTATTTATGTGACGACCAACATCTACCCATAAGTCTTCAGCTGCGTCGCACCGCCCTTCGAGCGGGTCTCCTCACAACTTTTCCTTATTCACGTTCGATATGAGAGCGAGCATTCTAACTGGTGTCATCATGCCAGTGTATGCTTTAGCATATGCTGTGGAGTATGTAACCGCCATGCCTCCAGTTCCAAGACAAAATCTTGGAGGTAATTTTCTTGTTCGTTCTTTGTCTGGCAATAAGGATTTGATCCACATCTTCAGATTTCGCAAGTGCACAACAGTATCTCACCGCTTGCGCGGACTCCTGTACCGATGACATCCAGTCCAGATACCAGAGAGCACGCCTAGATGTCAATCCCGATGACCAATACTGCAACAACTTCGGAAACACCCCAGGGGATGGTGCATGCTACGTGAGTATCTATCTTTTCTTCCCATTCCCAGCGGCTCTTTTCCTCACACTTGCGTCAGTGTGGCAACTACCTTGATGACAGTCGTAGTGTATTGTCTCTCTCATCCTGCATAGCGAACACATGCACCCAAATCTCGGAAGACGTTGTCGATGTCACGGGCGAGTTCATACCTGTGATGACTGCTCAGCTCAACCTGCTGTGCCCTAACAGCGTCAACCAGTTTTCGCATACCTTTGATGTGCAGCCTCCGTCTACAAACAGCTTTAGCGTCACCACCACTACAATGAGCTCTACTTCGAAATCCACCTCGAGATTGAGTTCGAGTTCTGCCATGCCTAGCCTATCTAGTTCTTCTACTGCATCGTCCACGTTCAAATCTACATCCACGTTCACGTCTGCATCCTCGACTGCGACTGGGACACCCACTTCTTCATCGGACTCGGCACCCAAGGTGCTCGTCCTCATGGATTCAGTTTACCTCACTACCACACTCTGTGGTGTGATCATGGCTGTTACAGCGTACATGCTTTAAGCTCCCCGATATCAGCGCAGCTCGGTAATTAAATTTTGCATTGTCCTTAGTGGCAAAAACGTTGTGTGGTTTTTGTTTTTACGAAGTGAAAACTCGTTTAGTTTATGTCGGGAATATCATTACTAGGGGAAAAGATCAACTATTCGAGCTTTCGGTCTAATCTACGCTCAAGCTAAGAATGGCGTGAATCTAATTAACCACGTCCTCTGACCAGTCCTCTTCTTGCTCAGTTTCAAGGGCAAGGACTACACTGATCGAATTCGTCTGAATTTTCGTCACTGTACGATATTGGTGATACTCGCCCTCGAATTAGCTTCTGTTCGGCCCTGGTCCCGCCATGCCTTATTACCTTCAGAGTGGAAGAGCACTGGCTACTTCTGTATTAGTAAATGCCAGTGAATGCTTAGATTGACATGAGTGTTTGAATCGAACTGAGCAACGGCCACAAGTGGCTGTGACTTGGCGCAATTCTCCTAGTTCCCACGCCTCCTTCCTTCCCCATGGTTCGGTTCAAGGTTAACAATTTTGTGTAAATACAGCTGCAAAGGCGCTAACTTTGCAAAAGAATCGATGGCTTCTCGTAGAGCTTATTCCGGTAGGCGAGCAGCAAGGAAATCCGACTCGGCTCGAAGCTAAACAAATCTGGGCGGCTTTGAGGGAAAGCATTCAAAAATATTTTGGCGACGTAGGTTGGGGTAGCGTGTCGCATTCTTTGACTGGTGCGTTTCCCTTGCTATATATTTATAATGGTGCTGAGAATAGTTCCAGTGAAGTATTTCTCGCCTACGACAAGTATTTGTATTATTCGTGTTGCGAGGGACCACCATCGTGTTGCTCGAGGAGGGGTCACTTTGCTGGATTCGATAGAGGGAATCCGAATTGTTCCATATGTCATAGACATATCTGGTCCGTATGCTGAGTCACCTCTTCCTGATACGCGTCTAACTTTTACTTGCTAGGTACAATAAAACACGCCCAGTTATCAGCCATAGAGCACAATCGTAAAGTCATAGCCCAATATCGAGCTAGGGCACAGACCTCGGGTACGCCCTGCTATGATGTAGTTGCTAAAGCATCTGCTTACTCTTCTGTCTTTTCATTAGCTTCCTACCAGGATTCCTATGACGATTATTTGGAAGCTAGTACCAACGAAATTCAAGCATTACGTGATTGACCCACTGTGAAAAAACTTCCTTTGCTACCCCACGTATCATCGGGAGAAACTTTTGGCATGGTCTGTGACTTTTGACTGGGAGCCAGGGAAGAGGGTCAAATATGGAATTCTCGGTTTCGCCTCAAGGTATGATGCTCTTCGTATTGCTGGTCAGTAAAAGAAACTGAATAGAACCAGGAGCTCCGATATACAATTATCAAGTCCAAATCCTTGGCTGCGACTGTCCTTGTCAGCAAAGCCGGGTGAAGGAAACATGCATGAACGAGGATGTAGTATCCAGTCGTCGGACGCGAATTATAACAGATTTTGGCAGGTTGCTCAGGATAAAATCGTGAGTAAATATATAATAACTACAAGACATAAATATCGCAGTATTGTATGCTACGAAAACAAGCCAATTTACAGTAAATTCCTAATTACCGATTTGCAGATGGTAAAACCGTGGGAACTTAATTATATCGGCTGTCTTCCGCACCACCATCACCACCGAATGCCGATATGCACGACGTGCACGCGATGGTCGTCTCACTTGTACACCGTGTACGAGTCAGCATCCAACCTCCGACTTGAACGATGTGTACGTTCTCTCGCTATTGCTTTATTTCTGATTCTAATTTTCGATGTCAGTCGAATTGCCATGCATTTGTGGATCCGTACATTGAATACGACGACTTGATATTGCTCATTGACCTTATTCTCCTCAAGAGTGGCGTGTATCGACACCTGCTGTTCAACCGAGGGGCGAAGCCTAGACTGGCGACGGAAGCATCGCCTAAGGACGACGATGGCAGAAGAAAGAGGGGAGAAAACTCACGCTGGTTGCTTGTCCTACATCTTGGAAGTATCCTTATCTTTGTAGATGCTTGTACGTTGTCAATTTTCTTTCAAATTATGACATGTTTTCACAGAATTTCAGTCAATCGATGGTGCCATTTGAGTTCGTCTCTTACTAATTTTCCGGCCAATACTCATCACCCTGAAGATCCTAGTCAGTCCGTAGACCTCTCCCCATGGTCTGGGTTTACCATCTTCAACTTTTCCCGCATATTCATTGGTTGTTTTGCCGGTGTGTGGTTTTACCTTTTTGTTGGTCGAGTTATTGACAGAACTGAAATCTCTAGAAACGGTGGCGTTTCACTGCGGCGTAGCAGCTGCTTATTCTGTAGTGCTCAAAATGATAACCTTGATAGAGAAATTGCGACAGCGTCACAGTTCTTTGCCGGAATCCGATATCAGACGCGAATTTAGGCAAGTCGAGAGGGTCATCCTTATTCAGCCTCTAATATCGTTCTGTCTAGCTACTCACTGATTCCCTTGACACTGTTCTACTCCTCCTTGACAAAACTCTTCCTTTCATTTCTTCTGACTATCTGGCGTCCGTCTCGATCAGAACTGCTTAGCCCAACGGCATGGAATGCACCCAAGCTGTCCAACTTTCTAAATATGCTCGATGATAGCCAACTCGATATTGGATGGATTGTCCGGAATATTCTAGGTGGAATCTCAGCCGGATTCGGGCTACGAGGTAGGTTTGATGCCTCGATCTTGTTTTCAATCCTTGTGAATTGATGGACTAGTGATACTTGACTGCCATCCCGTGTTTATTATGCTAGTCATTTTTTGCGGATCGGTAGCGAAGACCGTGATGGCGGTCTTGGTTAGTCAATGGGTCGGAGAAGCGTGGTTGGGGTATAGTCTTCTATGAAGTGCAGGGGTATGTGCACCATTGTTTGGGGTTGAAGTATTGCTGAAATAGGTGTTCAGGCAGTTTTCTCTTCGTCGTTCCAAGGAGCTGCCCTAGATACAAGTTAATAGAAAAGTTTAAATACGGAAGTTTCAGCCAGTGGCTGTGCCATATCATATCTTTCGACAGCCATTACTTCCACCACCAATCCTTTCGATCGTCACCATCTCATTTCATGCGACTTCTTGGACTACCCTTTCTCTCTCGGCGTCGAACGACAAAGAAATATAGCGAACAGTGTCAGGAATTACCTGAAGCGTAGGATGGCTTAGCTATGAGGGACGTCGAGATAGCTATAGCCTTGCTGGTATTGAGGCCCGAGACGTGTGCAGGTCCAAGTGGGAGGATGTCTAGCGCAATAGGTAGAAGACATGCGATGGAATATTTGGTACGGGAAGCTGCTTTCTGCATTACTCCGGCATGCTCATGAGCATCTAGGCGTTGACGTTCATACGCTCAAGCACTCGTGCTCAGGCCCAAATGACCTGCTGTGATTGTTGTCCGACTGATCCTTTCGTCTGGCCTCTTTCTGTTGTCCAGACAAGTTTCCGTCATTGCCTTTGCAAGATTGGCCATACGTTCAGTGCGTACTCAATCAGACTCTACGAGGACAACCAGTGCACCCTTCCACCTGTGCGAACTCACACATACACTTCATCTATCTCATCATCTATTCCGGTTCGTGCTCTACGCCCATTTTGTACTCCCCTGGAGCATCTCGACCTATTCCCCGTTCGCTGTCAAGAACCGTTTCCTCTCTCCACTCGATGTTCTCTTTTCCCAAGCCCTTGCCTCGCTCTTGCCCCAAGTTGATCCTCTCCAGGCAGATTTTGCTCGGCTGCTTAACAACGACCATTTCAAAATGCTGGGCTGCTCCTGTGCATGTTGTGTTTCCCTGCTATCGAGTCCAGTTCATCAAATAAAGGAAGGGGCCCATGGAGATGTGGCCGGGAACAGTGTTCCCCCGCGTTCCTGCTCCTTTCGTGCTCAGAGGCCGCTTTTTGTTTTCGCGCATAGACTTGGAGTGGCTTATTTCCAATCTACCTTCCTTGGAAAGGTTGAGGTGGCCGTGATTATGGCTTTTCCCTCCTGGGTCCTAGATGATGGTGGGGTAGGCAAAGATGTGGTGGGGGCAGTCTGATTGACTCTTCTCCGGCGCTGACCACTTCACGTCCTCTTCGGCTCTTCGAAAATGTCACGGATTAGGACCGACAGAATTACTGGGAGGAAGCACCGAGACAAGACACGTTAGTGTTTGTCCCTCAGTACGTGCCGGATGTTACAATAAGTTTAGGCGTATATGCGTCGTCTATGTCATCCAAATGTGTGCACATGTAGCCTGATAGGTCTGTGTAGTTCACCGGGTTCGATTCCTGGAGGTCAAATAGTATTTGGAAAACTCGGCTTCCATTTTTGGTTGTGCATCCATTCAAAGAGCACGAAGCGTCCACCCTACCACCCTCCGGGGAAAAATAGCACAAATATCTGTCATAACCACAGCACGTGTACCTTGCGGCGGCATCAGTAGCAACTCGTCGGCCAGGAGGAGGGCGTGGCATGGGATGTCGAGACAAATGGGGCCCGTACACACTCTTCTGGGTACTTCTCTACCTGTCATGAGCTCCGGCAAAACGGTCCTCCTTGATAAAGTATTGTCTGTCGAGTGAAGAGTGAGAGGGAATGATATTCATCCACCAATATACCCAATTGTGCACCCAAACGACCGCGCCTTTCGTGCCGTGATTGGATGTGAAGTGCCAGCGCTAGTTGACAGTGGAGGCAGGGCTCGAGAAGTGACGTCGGCATCAACGAGATTCAGAAGACAGCGCAGCCATATTGCTCTCCCAGTCCTGCAAAATCAACTGACGCATCATCTGTTTATCGAGGGAAGCAAAAAGAAAGAAACGTGCAAGGAGCGTGGATTTCACCTCCAGAACTTGAACCTGGTGTATGTGCGAACATGCTAGGCTACCTATGTGCAGTTTACAGAAACCGACTTGAGGACAAGAGAACAAAGATACACCATCGCACAGTGCAGAAAAATTATGCAAGGAGAGCCAGGACCACCACACGAATCGAACGTGCATGCTGACTCTTATCAGGTGGATGGAATGTAGGGGAATGCCTACTTCTGATATGAACTATTCCGAGGCAAGGAGTGCAAGGTATTGTGTGAGGAAAGACGAGAGAGCCATAATCCCAGAGGGTCTGATAGCCATGAGGCGAGTCATAGGTTATACCGTCTCTCCGAATTCAAAAGCACCAATCCTTCTCTTCCCATACGAGCGTATGATGTAGTGAGAGAACACTGCAGTATGCACCCTCTCAAGTAGGAAGAGGTGTCCAACCATGAATCCTCTCATTTGGGATATACCACTTATCCCGGTTATAATTCCTGGCTTGAGCGCCTTGTCTGTATTTCATCGAGAATGGACCAGGTTCAGAATTCAACGTGCAACGTTCAACACTGGAGATGAAATATTCATGTAACATTGTTGTTTTTACGAAGACGACCACCGTCACAATGAAGGTAGGGAAGGATATGTAGCTTCTCTTGCCTTTGTGTTGGATTTAGTCTTCTACATAGGACCAACGTGAGGTGAAAGGAATGCTCACAAGTCCAACTTCTCCCAAGGCATTCAAATTTTGTCAACTTACTCTTTCTCCAACGGTGACCGAGGACCGTTGTATTTCTCCCCACTTTCGAGAGGGCTGTTTTAAATGCTTCATTTTGGGATACATATTCCTCTTCTTACTGGAATCAAGTTCGTCTCTCTTCTTGCATGAGCGACAAGGAAATACGGCAAGTGGTGCTTGGGTTTACCCATGCTAGCTTTGGGGCTTAGGACGTGCTCAAAGCAGCATAGTATTTTTTGGTAAAGGGACTTGATTTATCAGTTACTTTGGAATGCTGATCAGATATCTAGGTTCAATCTGAGGCCCTTCATTCACACCAATCCCTATCTCACTATTCTGGAAGGGGTGATCGGCTACAGTTGAATTCCCCCACCTAGGCTGTCCCAAGTGGAGGGCAGTGGGAAAGGAGCAAACGACAACCCTGGGAATGGGGCACAAGGTTTCTCCAATGTCGCAATGCATATCCTTATCGTTCCCCCTTCATCATGGCCTAGCACATGATGAAATCCAAGTTTGATTACTTCGAGTTCTCAACAGGAGATGCAGAGCTCATATTTATTTCGACTGAGTCTTCTCAATCATCTCTTCAGCCAGTGGATATGTGTAGCACACCAGGTTCGAATCCTGGCAGCGAAATCGCTTTGATATCAGGTGTCTGATCGACTTTTTGGCGGGAGCGAGATGCCGATGTGTCCCTCCCACTCTCTGACTTATGTTTATTGAGCTTTTTGTGGGGGGCCTAAGGGCGTTGAAAAAAAAAACGAGAAGCCATATGCTGGGGTGCCATCCCTGAGGTAAAAAGTTTGGAGAGACATCAATTTTGATGCAATCAGATGGCTGTGCCACCTTTGACCATAACCACCACTGTTTACATAACAAGACCGAGCCAAAGGTCTGATATGGCTCCTGCTCCTGGGGATTGGGACATAGAGGAGACAGTAGGGAGGGTGTGAGTGCTAAGCAGGGGATTCTCAATAACCAGGAATGACATATGCATGAATATTCCTCATGTGTCAGTGCTAATTGTTTGCATACAGCTTTCTGAGCAATATAACATGCAAAGTATTCAATGTTTGGTTCATGAGTAGGACATAGATTTATTTGCTTGAGAGGACCACCAAGGAGAAATCAATTCCCCATGCACTCCAGACCTGCCATCAATGAGCTGCTTCACATGTCTGTTTGCTCTCTGTGGTTTCTCCACACCACCTTGTTTAAGGACCACATAGCCTTACCCAGGGAGCCACTGAGTGTACATACACAGGTTCAATTCAGATCATGTGTCATTTCACCTATTTCTTTTCTTGTCTGTACTGTGACTTTGCTCAGAATATCATTCTCTCCAAATTCCAGCTGTCTGATCTGATAGGCTAACTCTTTTAACTCCTAGAAAAACATCTTGGCATTCTTGTAGTCAGACTGCTGAAGGATTTTCCATTTGAGTTGGTGGAGTCACATCTTTACCTCCTCCTTAAAGTATATGATCACTGCATGCTTGAACTGTAAATAACTCAGATATCATTACTGGTTGGTGATCTTGTCATGCAAATAGGGCTCTTAGTGGTCCCACTATTTACACACCTTGTCTTCAAACTGCAAGGCACAGAAAATGATATGGTGCAGGCTGAATCTGCTCACATTGATATGCAGTGTACATGTCTAGCTCTAAAATTTTTAGATTTTAAATAATATATTTGCATAAGCTGAAGTCTGTATGGCTAGCCATTCAAAGGCTACAGCTAAGGCTTTGAGCTGGTAGCCATGCTAGTTGGCAATTTGAAGTTCAGTTTGGACTTAGAGCACTAACTTCACACTGAAATGATAATCCAAAGTTAAATTAAACTTAGAGGAATTACACCACTTTGGTAAAATACCAAGTCAGATTGGACTTAGAAATGGTACCACATTTGGGCTAATTCTAAATACCATAAGGGCTAGTATACCATAGTCTAGTTGAGAATATATTCCTATGACTAACTAAAGTAGAAGCAAAGTGGAACTCATCATTAGCCTATGGTTAGCACCTCAAATAATTATCCAAATTGTCTAGACAATATATGGCACTATAGCTAAGTGGTTAAAGTGACAGATTAGAACTTGTCTTATATTCATCTGTTACTCTCTGAGTGCGTACGTTCAAATCCTGATGGTGTCGTGCGATTTCGACATTCCTCTTTTTGGAGGTAACGCAGCGTACGTATTATGGAGAGCACGCATACGGGTACGGTTGCGTCAAGAACTCTCGGACTCGATTCACCAGTCTAAATACTTGGCTGTGACCGTGCAAATCAGCAAAGCCAGGTGTGAAGGGAACGGGGATGTCACGGCAGTCGGATTCGAATTATACAGATTTTGGCAGATCGCTCAGGATCAAATCGTGAGCAGCACAAGAAATAGATATAGCAATCTTGTATATTACTATGAGAACAATTTACAGTAAATTCCCGATTACGGATCCAGCTGGTAAAAACCGTGGGAACTTAATTATATCGGCTGTCTTCCGCACCACCATCACCACCAAATGCCGATATGCACGACGTGCACGCGACGGACGTCTCGTGTACGTTTCAGCATCAAACCTCCGACTTAAACGATGTGTACGTTCTCTCGCTATTGCTTTATTTCTGATTCTAATTTCGATGTCAGTCGAATTGCCATGCATTCGTGGATCCGTACATTGAATACGACGACTTGACATTGCTCATTGACCTTGAGTGGCATGTATCGACAACTGCTGTTCAACCGAGGGGCGAAGCCTAAGCGGGCAACGGAAGCATCGCCTAAGGACGACGATGGCAGAAGATAGCCGGGAGAAAACTCACGCTGGTTGCTGATCCTACATCTTGGAAGCATCCTTATCATTGTCGACGCTTGTACGTTGCCAATTTGCTCTTAAATTATGACATGTTTTCTCAAAATTTCAGTCAATCGATGGTGCCATTTGAGTCCGTCTCTTACTAACTTTTCAACCCATACTCATTGCCTTGAAGATGCTAGTCAGTCCGTCCTCTCCCCATGGTCTAGGTTTACCATCTTCAACTTTTCCCGTATATTCATTGGTTGTTTTGCCGGTGTGTAGTTTTACCTTTTTCAGTCGAGTTATGCGACGATAAACAGAGAAGTGGGCTCCATGGTTGATACATCTATGATATCTGGGCAGCGCTTTATAGTCGAAACATAAAGCGCAGTGATGGAAAAGGATCAAGAAGGCAACAAGATTCTTCCAAAATATCAGGGCTTCATCCCCATTCCAAGACGAAGCCAAAAAATGGGGCTTGAAATGAGCCATATTAGATCAATAACGAGGCCAAAAGACTAATCCTCGGCGAATGATTCACCGTGTGACATGTACGCAATGATCTACTGGGGGAATTTCCTTCTGCGGCATCTCAATTTGCAAGGTTATACCGCCTTTTTTTCAAGCGTTCCCCCCCCCCTCTTATTATTAATATTTGACTTATACTTTCCGGAGTTCCGGCATCAAGCCTAGGATCCTTTCTGTGTCTTGACTAGTCGAACTATCGGTCTGTCTTGATTCCGTCTTGTCCATCATCTCTTCATTGGTGCCTATAAGAGGCCTAACGCCCGAGCATAGTATTGCCGGCGTGTTCATGGATTTCCAAGGTAAGGTGATCATCCGGATTTGGACCTGAATCAGCTTTTTAAATCCAGTCCACGACGTCGTGGAGAATATCAATTGCCTGAGTCTTCCCCATCTATACCGACCTCCAAGTTTCTGTCCTTTGTTCAAGGTCCATCATCTTTTCGTCATCGATACTGCGGTACTTAGGGTTGTCCATCATGCACGACCGCTTTTCGCTTTGGCTGTTCCTTTGTTCAGCGCGTCGGCGTATAATGATCATGCTTCGAGTTCCTCCTCAGGTGTACTCCTTTGTTCGACGACGTACAAGTAGAGGCGCTGCTGTTGTCGTCCATATCAAAATGCACCAACGACCCCAGAGACCGACAATCAACTAGCTACGTCAGCGGCCCCCCGTTTCTACAGACAAGGGCTACTGGTGAAATACTCGTTTATCCATGCAACTTAATCCGCCAACAGTCTTCAGCCCAAGAAGCGTGGTTTAATTCTATCGACCAACTTGGGTGATAAACTAATTAACATTTCATTTCGCAATTCAGTCATGCTACAGATACGGGCAATAGCATGGCCCTTCTCCCCGCAGGTTCCAATATATCTACGGCCGAGCCCATACCAATAAATTCGTGCTCATTTTTGATACCAGGAGGGAAATCAGGTGGCCTGATTCCTTTCAAAAAGCTGTCTCTCTGTCTCTCAATGTACGATTTGTTCATTGGCGTGAGAGGCACTGAGGGGATATACATCACTGCATCGCTGTCAACATCAAACCGGGCGCCACTGCGAGGGAATAACGCACCACAAGAATCTTCCTTTCCGGTATGTTCGGCTTCGACGGCATGAACCATATCGCAATGCCAAAACACGGTGTCACCTGGAAGAACCTTCGGCACTGAAATCATGGTTTTCTCGAGTCTGAGGTGAGGATGCAGGTCAGGTGTCGGCCTTGGCCCGGTATAACCGCTGTCCCTGGGAATGATTCCAGGAAAGTCCGGCGTCGAGATGTCTGTGGGACGATATGATCAATTGGAACGCGCTAGGTGGAGATGTACCTACCATACTGCCAGCTCTCGGCCTTCAAGATGTCGGGAGAGTCGGCAGGGACGAGAGGTCGAAAGAACGGTCGCAGCATGATATACACATTACTCATGATGACGTTCGGGAAGAATTGAATAGTGCCTTCTGTCGGTGCGGTTTTGCTGTAATAGTTGCGGGAATGGAACCAGTATCCCAGTTCTTTATACTGTAAACACATACCTAATCGCAAGCCATCCCTGAAAGGTTCGGAAGATTGTAGCCTTTTAAAGGATTATGTTACAACTCCATGCTGTTACCATTAATGGCGGATACATACCTGTCCTACTCTGTTATGCAACGAGCTTTTCGCATTAATCCTTCCGCGCAGATCGTACGGATCGTGTTTCTTCCAATTGCCTTCGAAGATATCCTTGAAGACTGACCTGAACGATGGATCTTCCCACCGTTCGATTGCTCCACCTACACCATGGTCCGTCACTACGGGAATCAAATGGACAGCATCTGCGCTTACCGTCAACATGTGGCGGATGGATGTCCCAGTGCACTCCAGGATGCCTCATCCTGAGCCGATCGGCATAGCTCAGAGGCTCAGACAGATCCACTGCCCCGTCTCTTGCCAACTCGCCGTCATAGTGATAAATCTGGTTCAACCAGGTTGATACCCTGAGCATATTTGGATGTGCGCGAGCTTCTATCTGTGGTTTCGTCCAGCTGAAAAGGGTCAAAAGCGGGTTGGGTTCGTATAATATTGGCACACCCACAACAATTGGGAGAATTGTTTGTCTTCACTCGGAAACCCCTCGACGTCAGGATTCGCCGCAACGAAATCCTGAAGGCCGTGCCTCCATGTGATGGCTTGTTGGTCTTCTATCACATTACGGATGACAACGCATCCCTTGCTCTTGATCTCTGTCTTCTGCGCCTCAGTTAAATCTGACAAGTCAGCGAATTCAAGCTGAGGCAGGTACTATCCAACCGGCGTGAGCATATATGATAAGACAGTTAACCAAGCATACATACGTTGGCGCCTTGTTCACTAATAGTCTCGGTGACTACCGCCAGTTCGTCAATGACCTCTTTCCATGCCTTTGTGACATTCGCCTCAAAGTCAGGGTACGAAGCGGCGATATGTGCTTTCAGCTTGAGCAAATCTGCGGGTCCGGTCATGATACAAGGAAATAAAAAATTGTCAGTGTCCTCGGTCCCCAAAGATAACGGAATGCTGATAAGAGATTGGGTGCAATAACTGTACATTTCCTACTGGTCATAAGTGCGATCACGAACGCACCTTTTGCCTGAAGAATTGCCGGTAACACTGGTACGGCATAGAATTGTCAAATGACGCAATCTACAGTCTTGAGTCTGACGCAATTGGCGTTATTGCTCTCCTTCCGCCAATTCCTCTTCTACATACTCTGCGCCCTCCTCCTCAAGGTGCTCCTCCTCATCTTCCAGCGTGGCCTCTTGATAGCGTTGGTACTCCGCTCTAAAGGGGGATGAGTCAGATCCTTCACAGCATCACTCTGACACACATGAGATCTAGCATGTTGCTTTCCGCCTCTGTGAACTGCATTGGATTCATGCCTTGGCCTGTGTACCTTCAGATATGGTGAGGAAAGTGATTGGAAACCAGAGAAACCCCTTACCAGTACATAAAGGCGCGACGCTTGAACATCAGAGAAAACTGATAGTGCCATATTAATATCTGCATGTCAATGTGGTCATTCGTCAAGGCACCGAATCCAAAGTACGCTGAAATAGTTCTTGAATGGAGGTGGAGTTTGCAAGTCTCGTGGCAGCCTAGCGGATAGAGATACGGAAATGCACAGGACATATACGCCAACCTGTTTCTGACCCACGGGGGAAACCAATACTATAGACACAGAAACATTGTCGGGAATCCATCTAGAAGACCATTAGTCGCCACACGGAGTACATTTTTGATTAGATGCACTCACTCGACGAACTGTTGAGAGCTCTTGCTTTGAAGATCATGGACCGCGACCTGATACTGTAAGAGGAGTGTTCGGGACTCAAACTACAGTACACCCACTTCGGCCTGAAAAGATAAATTCATGGGCAAGGCTGATCCCGTACGAAAGGAACGCTTACTTCGCCTGAGGAGATCTGTCCTCGGAAAATTATGTATGCTGTAAGGTAGCGCCTAATAGAGGAAGATAAGAGAAAAGACAAGTTGCATGAGGTTTCGGCATGCCCAAATCGTGGATCGCACTAGTAGGTTTCTGCGATCGAAAAGCCTGTATGTGATCATCACTTGTATCATTGATCGTTTCGTCTATCAGGGGATCCTCTAACCCGTCAAGTTCTGGACTCCACCCCGGTCATTCCATATCTATCATATAGTGACCGCATATCGAAGATTGGTCTGGGGAACGGAACGTTGTACGACGTCCTCGACGCAATAATGGAGAAGGAGATGTCACCGTCAGTGCATTAACCTTCAATGTCACTTGCGGCTATGTCGATGGTGCATCGGTAACGCCAATCAACAATACCGGGAATTGGACACGAGACACGACTTACGATGAACATGTCCAACCCATCCCTGTTCTTGGTGAGTGTTCTCATGTGAGACAGAACTACCAAAACTCATTTCCACATTTCTAGCGCCCAATACATTCAAGTGGCTAAATTTCTATAGTTACAACTTTCAGGACCCTTTTCTGTCGTCCTTGTAGGTGAATACTGATTGTTTGCGTATGGTGGCGTCACGCTCTTTTCTATACGTCAGCGAACATCACGGATTCCAATGGCTCCACTGGTAATCTTGTTACCCTCACTCCGCCCGTGCCCCCCGGACTAAATATGAATGCGAGGTACATAATTCGTCTAGTTCCCCAGCCGTCTTCGCCCATTAATCTTTGCTCAGAAAATGTTAGCTATTTTGATGAGACCACCGTCGACACGATACAAATTATCGGCTGCACTATCACCCAACTCAACCAGAGCGCCGTGGCAGACGCACAGTCGCACCTCCTCAAACGCATATACCCATCTAGCCAAAAAAATGACATTAACTTGGGCGAAATGGGACTCTGAGACGGTCCCCGTCAATGCTACCGTTTCCTCCTCGCCGGAGGGCACCACGATAATATATGGTCGAGGTGAAAAAACCGTCATACCCGACGCAGCAATTCTCAAACGGCAGACTAGGGATACTCCGGCTGCCAATCCCACGTCCGCCCCGGCCCCTCAGGACCCTAATCCGACACCTGCACCAGAGCCGCAGGGACCATCTACACAACCCATTGTCACTCCAACGGAGTCCCAAAGTCCTACTCCCGTTCCAGCACCGCCGACCACAGGCCCCGCCCCCCAGAACCCAGAACCTTCCCCGGTGTAGGTGATTCCACTGCAGGACCAGAATCCTTCCCCGGCGCAGGTGATTCCAACGGAGCCACAGCCCCACTCCTTTGCCGGCACCGCCGACCGGTACACCCTCAGGTCCCGCCCCCCAGAACCAGAATACTTCACCACCGGTCGTTTCAGGTTCAACACCCCAAAACCCAAAACCTTCCCCAGTGCAGGTGTCTTCAGCACCCCAGAATCCCAATCCCTCCCCAGCTCTACCGCAGTCAATTACACCACTGCCTGTCCCTCTGGGACAGTCCGCGCATGGAAACAACGGTGCAGTCACTGTCTCTGGTCGACTTCAAACTGCTACACCGGCGTCAACCAATGGAAAAACACTCAATCGGCGCAGTCCAGTCTCCGTCCTGGCAATACTTGGCAGTCACTAACAACCACGAACACATTTTTTGCAATTCCACCATCGTCGCAAGGCATTGATTCGTCCAGCGGTACACCTACCACGACTGCGTCAAGCGCCAACAGTAGCAGCCAAGGATTTGGGTCACTTTCCTATTATGAGATGTCTAATGTTTTCCTTGACGTGATAGGTGCCGGCATCCTGGTTTGCATATTACGCCTACTCAAATCTCCTCATGTAGTGGTGGAATCTCTTCTATCAAGCAGCGATCAGTCGGTTCCCTTCTACGGACGACTGTCCAGGGTTCCTTGGACCAACCCTGAGTCGTGTAATCCTTTGACAGTTGTTGAACAGTACGCGACCATTCGTTCCACATGGTTTCTCATTATTCATGCGTGGGTCTTTGTGAAGATTTGTCATGGAAGATCTGGGGCTTCATTCTATTCTGCTGAACAGCCCCGTTAAACCGGCATCCCAAATTGCGTTGCACGATTTGGAGAATTCCCTTTCAAGTGCGACGGCAGCGTCCCATTAGGCAGGTGAGTTTTTGGAAGCGCTCTTATCAGCAGTTTATGCTGATAGGTCTCCTTCTCCTTGCTTTCCGGTTGATTGGCACACCCATCTCAGGCGACTCTGGTATCGACACTACTGGAGTTTTGCAGATCTTGTGGTTCATGCGCACAAGACCGGACTTGCAGAGGATAATCTCTGATGTCGATGAGCCGTCCGCGTCCTCTTGCGATGTTCTCGTAACTAAAAGTGGCTCCCTTCACAAATACTACATACTCTTAGTTAGAGGAGGATTAATCTGTAACATAGAAAAGCAGTACTACTTGTCCTCTTGTAATTATATATATACACCCTGCCGAAATGAGGAGAGTATATCAACTTTTGGATGGTCAGGGGATTGCTGAATGGGTCGCAGCAGCAGCGACGAACGTAGCAGGATGACATCGCCGAAGAGTCGAAGAAGCAGAGAAATATATATTTGGACACCGCACCATCTCCTTCCCTGACCGTGGAATGACGGAAATAAGATGCCAAGTACAGAGCCGTCCCTCCGGACTCGCATACTGTATAGTTTACGATTCTAGAGGCTTGAATTTGTTGCTTGAATCCTTCGAAAACTCACGACCATAGAGACGGCGTTTGGATCGCTCCGTATTGTGGGAATTTGAGAGAGACGGCATGCAGGTTCACAGCGCCAACATGCATCTGACATCCCCGTCGACGTGAATCCTGGACACTGGCCTGCTCCCCTTGATAGCGGCTAACTCTTGAATTTCAAAACATCACAGAATTCAGCAGTTTATTTCGGTCGTGTTAAGCGGACACGGGTTTTACGCGAAAAGTTGATGAGCTCCATGGACATCGTGCGTATCATCGAGGAGCCTGAGAATGACGGTACCGGACTGGGTTTTTGTTGCCCTCTCAGATGTAAGAAGAGTCTGAATCTGTGAGGTCAGTCCGTATTGAAATGGGACTAGAGGGAAAACTCGCCTAGAACACAGTGTGGAACGAAGAGCACGGCTAGGGCTGAATTACGGCAGCGTAAGCGATATGACAGTGGCGTTGATGATGGAATAGATAACCTCACCCAACAAAAAGGGCAGTGAGACTCTCTGGTCCAAGAAGCGTAACAAGTATGTTGCCTAGTGCAAGTGCTGAGTTACCATCATTATTGACAGAGATCTTTACTAGGATTTTTTTTCGAAAACGTACCAAACATAGCTAGTTATAACGTCAATATCAGAAAGGCCAAGAACTACCAAGGAGTAAACACCCACCTGCGTAGAACAAAAAGCCTGCAAGGAGAATGATAAGGAATTATGCGGATTGCAACGAGGATCAATCAAACCACCAACCATCCTGAAACAATGCCTTCAAAAAATTTGACTCGTAATCTGCGAGCACTGTACCGAGTTCGGCGTCGGGTGTAGAAACCTTTTCACGGTAGGCGGTGCGATATTTCCAGAGCGTAAGAAGAAAAATAACTACATAGTAAAGTTCATAAGCAGAGAACGGTAAGAAGACTCGGGATCATGCATACTAGTATCAAAACCGATGAAATAGCAATAGAGATATATCCAAGTTCTCTTGCATACTGGCGAATTGCACTGGAGATTCGTACATCCGACCCATTGTGAAGGATATTTCGGATTAGAGTCCACTAGAAAATAGCCGGAGACTTGGAGTCAATCGATTGGAAATTGTATCCGCACCACCTTACCTATAATGTACTTGCAATAAACCCAAAGTATCAAGAAGATAGCGGTGAGGGTGGGAAAGACAATAAAGAATCCCAGGAAGTACAGCCAGAAACTCTTGAGGTATAAAGCATAAGTGCGAAGCCCGAGAATCACTAGAATGGTATGAGGACAGATGATTTCAAGCAACGAAATTGGTACCTTGGGTATCAGCAACAAAAAGGATATTAACAATGTTCGAAAACACGAAGGAAACATTGCAGCTGATATAAGTCAGGGTCTGTGTATCAAGACATCGGTCAGACGTACAACTGCGCGATATAGTGAGTGTCGGCGTGCTTTAGAGAAATAAGACACGTACGCTAGCATCATTAGATGCACGATTTGCATTGTCTTATGAAAAAGTAAGTGAGCAGCGACCGTATCCAGGTGATGTTACGCGTACAATAAAAATCCATTGCAATGATTAACGGTGGGATATACCGATTCTGCTTCAGTTGAGACACGAACCAGCAAGATAGTGTAAATAACTTACTATAAGAAATAACACTTTCCCCAGCGACCACTTACAAGACCATACGCGCGCTACCTCAGAGTCCATGGTAAGACATATGTCTAATAGCGATATCGTGAGACCGGCCACTGGGTAAACGATGGATGATGAAGAAAAAATGCACGACCCGATAGGCTAACCGTAGGTATACTAGAAAACACTTAGCACTAGTAACCACACCCTCAGAGTCGAGAAATCCGTACTCTACATGCGTTGAGATTGATAAGATCTTTTTCTGCGACCGAGTTCATAGCTCTGAGCTGCACTGGGACCTATCTAGGTCTGGATTGGTGTCGTGGTAGTTGGAGCGGAAGTGAAGGCATGAACAGCAATAATGCAGGAATAAATCTGCCAACATCCTGGACAGGCGGCAATCTGCCGAACGTCAGATCTAAAATAATTGTGTTCTGATCTTACTGATGCCGGCCCTAGCTGGCGGCGAAGGAATAATACAAATGCAATTAACGTATGTACACACACCCTTCAGATTGCCTCCCGGCCTTTCTCGGTAGTACAGCGTGGATGATGACGAGAATGTCAACTGCCACAATCTCCCTTGGGAAGAAGAAGCATACTGGACCATGGTAGTTCTGGCACTCAAGGCTCTGGGAGCTGTCAATAAAACTGATCGTTAGCACGCATCTACATGTGCAAGTGTGCACCCCATTTCAAAGTCAGTCACCCAGTCACAGAAGCCATCTTGTATCGGATGCAAGGCTGGGCTGTACCGTGTACGGTGCAGGAAACAAGGCCGTTCCTATGTCAGAGTTCAAACCAGTACTTCAGGATAAAACAAAGCTCTTCGGACAGTAAAACTTCATTCACGTTCCCAAACAGGATGACCGCTATGGACCGAATGAGTCGGGGTGACAGACTAGGAATGAGGTGGACTTGGTGGCAATTCATCTGTACCTTGTAAGTTAGCGTCCGCCTAATCCAAATTGTCCGAAGTAGACTTCGGGGCCAGCACCCGTCTTGCCGATGACGCAGATGCCGGTGACGATCCTCCAAACAAAGACGACATCATGTCGCCAAATGGATTTGCTGCCTGATTTCGCGGAGGAGGGATGGCGAAATACAGTGTCGCGAGTTCATTGAGTGCCTGCGCAAGAAATGAGTAACTGGAACCAATAGCGCCGCCTAACGAAAACTTTTTTCTCCGTTTATCGGAGCACCCAGAGTATTCAATGGAGTGCTACTTTCGTAGTAAAATATTCACACCAGAAACAGATAAATTCAGGCTCGACTTGAATTTGAACCGCAGTACGGGATTTTGGCCGCATTCTGGCAACAGGATGGTCATGGATCTGCTGCACGCGGTAAAAAAAAATCCCTAGCGAAAGGAATGTCGTTCCAGCAATGCAAGAATTGCCGATCTCCCTGTAGCAAAAGCGCAACGAAAGACCCGGCACTTCGGTCCAAATTCAAGCTCAACTAAAAGTGCCCTTCTGGTGTGATCAGGAGTGCAGGGTGGGGCTCACCTTTCGGACTTCAGGCTGGGCGAGTAATCCCCCTTTGCTCTGATAAGTCCCACATAACCTGACCCAACTCTCACGCATGGCTTTGTTCCGCTCTCCCTGAGAACGCTGACACGTCACGACGGCAAGTTGAGCGAAGTTTACATAGGGATCTGTCGTTAGGATCACCTCATTGGTGTCGTCAACGTGTTTGGACGTCTTCTGTGCTGTCTGTGGAAGCTGTGGCACGAAATGCGTGATAAAAGTCCGGGCCGCGAGAATGTTTCCGTTCTGGAGATATCTATATACACGGTAACAATCAGCTGAGAGATGCAAGTATACATGGAACGCATGCATACGGAATCACGCCCCGTAATGCAAATGGGCCAGGGGGGCCGCCTTCAGACAGCCATTGAATGAACATGTCCGCAAGTAGCCTGGCGCTATCTCGTTTTCCGGAAGCGAGGAAATGAGGTTCCGCCTGGTCCAGAGCGCCATCTAGTACAGTGTCTCAGGATAGAGCGCACCATGGTAGCATCAAGGGTCAGTACCTTTGAATAACAGCTCTCCGACATAGTGGTGCAGATCCTGATCGCCGGCTGGACAAGGACCATTCTTTGCAGACCAACTGTATACATTTTGTTCGTGAGAATCACGGCAAGCAGTAGGGGAATGGTTACAAACGCTATTGATTTGTCAATGATGGTCTTCCGCCAGGATCCCGAGGAGCCAGTCAATGCGATGAGCTGCGTCAATCTGTCTGTGTCATTCGAATCAGCAGTCAGGACAATGCACACCACGACACTGCGCACCTCTGTTTTCATCGTTAACGGTCTCTCCCTTCGTTTCGTAGACATCGAGCATAAATGCGGCAAGGTCAGTACCGGAACCGGTTTGCCCTGTCTTGAGCAATTCTCTGGCACTCTGGAACAGCACATCGATGGCGGTGTCGTATTGACCGGACTTTGCGTATCTAGAAGCAAATGTACGAGCTTTCTGGTGCGCCTCGTACGGCGAGCTTGCTATCTGAGGAAGAATCGCGTTGAGGGCCCTGGTGGAGGACATGGTAAGACGAGAGTATAGTTTCTCACGCTCGTCTCCCATTTACAACGACGAGATATCTCATCATCCTATCATCGCAAAGAATGTCGAGTATACTGATGTATACTTAATCTTTACAATAGGTCTTCTCGTCGACAATACCGTTACTCTTTAACCTTGGAAAAATCAAGAGCAGGGTCCTTACTACCGGTTCCTGTCTCTGACAACGGTCGTTGATATCGATTTCTTTTTCGCTCTGGATGAGTTAGCTCGCTTTCGGTACACCAATTTTTGGACGCTGGCTATGTGGATATTCAGAGGTCGGTGGTGCGTCGTCCGGCTCACCGTAACATTAGCTTTGTCTCCTTCGAATTTATCGGCCGTTCGACATGCAAGATTAGGAGGACTACGTGCTTTCTGTTACTATGTGTGTCTCTAATACTACCGTGCAACCGAACATTGGAGATCCATGGCGTTGGAGCAATGGATTGCGTATATGCGCATGGAAATCTTATCGGTGGCGCTCAAGTGAACATTCAGACTACATGCACACCTTCAGGTCGAGCTGAAGAATGCTGAAGACCCAATTGGTTCGTGGGGTGCTTTTTGCCGTTAAATTAAGTGTTCATTGTCCTACTTGCAAGCCGAAACTCTCACAGGCTGTTAACGCCAGTTCTTACATCTATTATAAAACCGTCATTTTCTGTCAGAATGGACTGAATATTTAATCACACGTCTGGCCGGAATTTGACGTCTCTTCACGATAAAGTTTGGCATCCACCTTCAATCAACGTAACGACTAGGATCTATACCTATCGCAGGAGGGCTAGCTGGTTCGCTGGAATTAACCTGAATGGGGCCTCTCTTCACAGGACCCGATTCTTTGATTGGACCCTGGCTTGCTACCGTCCTACATGTACAGCATCCATCCATGCTGTCTACGGATCCTAGTGTGCCACAAGAGCGGTCTTCTTACACAAAATCGTACTAGTGTACAGGCCTCATGACTTCGACATTTACCTTCTTCCCACCAATGAGGTGGAAGAGACTGATTCATATAGGAAAACATATTGTTCCCACATTGCGTATCGCTTAACTGCTCTTACCGTGACGCTAACCTAGGCCATGGTGAAAAAGGTACGTCTGTGACTTATTATTTAATGAAACATGTTTCACGAATTCCGACATGCCGGGCACTCCGGAAGCCTAGTACGCGCCAGCCCCGGGGTGGAACTCTTTGGTCTTTGTCAGACTCCCGCTTACTGTTGCCAACTTTTGCTTACTGTCGCGGGGTTCTTACTGGCACCGATAAAGCTGTGACAGGCTTTAAAAAGTCGGTAGGACTACTTACCTAGACTCGAACGAAACGCCATGGTTGCCTACAAAGCTCCAGAAAATGCCTCTCCTCAAATGCAAGCCTTCACTGCATACATCAACGCTGTTGCAGCGTTCGATAGTGAGGGCGTCTCGGCAAACTTAGATGACGAGGCATTTGAGTTCAACCTCCTTCCTCAAGCAATGGCTATCTCGAAACTGAAGAAGCAGGAATTTGTTGCCTTTCTTCAAGCGACAATTTTTGGTTGGTTTATTAATAGTGATTTTTCTGCACGTGTTATTTCTATTGTCTACTCGGTGTATCAGAATTGATAATCCTTTTAATAGGTGATAGTTCATGAGATTATAGAAGCTGGTGATGCGCTTACAGCACATGTCGGTCTTCTTCGTCCATTATATTGTGATTTATAATATCTCTTCTCTCCTTACAGGTCCAATCGGATGGCGTCTCCAAGCTCGGTACGCCATGGAACAACGAATATATCTTGATGTTGCGATTCGTGCCATCAAAGACGCCGGGTGAGCTGCCAAAGATCGGCATGTATAAGGAATTTTTGAATTCAGCTTTTGTTCGTGATTTCAAAACTGAGGAGAAAAAAAGAGAGGCGAAGGAGTGAATGCTTATACACAGTTATCCAGACGACGGCCTGCGACCTTTCATGTAGTATTGATAAAATAATTGTCCGACATGATGCTTCAACTGTCTTTCCCTGCTAATCCGAGTCTGAATCTGCTATACAGTGCGGCCTCATGAGTCATGAGTCCCTTGTAAAAGAGACTCGGGGGCGGTTCTGTTGACGACTGAAATCATAATGCCACAGGATTTCCACTGCTCGGCCCATAGCTTTTTCATCGCAGTTGGAGATTTCTTTCTGTCTCTCCTTTCGTCGCTTTCAATGATAATAGAAACTCTGTACTACCTTTTCGATCGATCACGATCATTTGCATTGTTCTGTGTACTTATTTGTGACTAAGCCAAAGTTTCTTTATCCCTGATGTTCTTTCCCATCCGTATCCGACGATGCCGACGAGGTGGATACCGCACTAGAAAAAGACTGAGATGGAGCAGGCCTCCTACGAGAGCAACCTGTCTTCCTACACCTGCATTGAATGCACGCAGTTTTTGGGTTTGTTCTCGTAGATGGCGCAACGAAACAACGAAGCTGATTGCAATCGCAATTCTCATACTAAACCAACAGAAAGTCAGTCATCAAGAACGTATGCCAGAAAAAAATGGTAACTCGTAAAACTGATGGTTACTCGCTGGAGATTTTGCCTTGGGTATTTCCTGGCAAGGCTATCAAATAGCTCTCTTTCTGGGACAGAGCCATAGCTTTCATTTCAAGCGCCTTCAACTTTTTCTCCGGCCGTTTTATGTCTTCACGTTCCTTTGAAGATCTATCTCCTCTCATCCTCTTGAACCACTCGCCGGATCGGCAGTCGACGCTAAGGGATTACTAGGCATGGGCCGGCGGGGCTTATGGCCAGAAGCTCCAGTTTTCCTCTAACTCCCATCTTCCGAATCTCGTGGCGGAGGCGCTGAAGTAGGCGGACCCTAGTCTGAGGGTGGTGGGAGGGGGGGGGGTTGGATTCTGGAGCCCCAAATCTGGAGGCGGCATGTTATCCGAGGATGGAGGAGTTGGGGTCGGTGACGGTGGTTTTGGTGTAGGGTCTTGAGGCTGAGGTGCTATGGTGGGTGCCGGAGGATTTGGGGCTTTGGTCTGGAGGCGCAGGTACTGGACAGCCTTGGTTTGGCGGTGAGGGGTTAGACGACGGATTCTTCGGTGCAGGATTCGGTGCAGGACCCGACCCGGTGGCACAGGCGCCGGATTAGGTGGTGGTGGGTTTTGAGAAGCCGGATCTGGAGGCGGTGAGTTCGGTGGCGGGACTTGCGGCGGAGGCGCCGGATTTGGCTGGTTCTGAGGGTCTTGGGGGGGCGGCGGCGGCGGATCTTCCTGACTAGGCAGATTTGGCTGTGGCTGCGCCGTTGGACCCTGTCCTGACCCAGTTCCTTGCCGCTTCCTGATTCGTGGCATCGCAGTCTGCTCACCACGCCCAAAGATTGTCGTCGAACCCTTTGGCGAAGACGAGACCGTCGCATTACCTGGGATCGTTGCGGGTCCCACTGAGCCCACGTTGAGGACGTTTTGCGACCACGAGGGTGGACGTCCTGAAGGAGACGGGTCTGCACATCTGCGGCTGCTGACTGGTTGACCACAGTGACTGCGCAACCAATGACCTGCATCGTACAGACGGTCGTTTCATCGAAGTAACTGACATTTTCTACAGAAAACTAAATCGGAAGTACGAAGGAGAAACTGACGGAAGGCTTACTGCGAGAAGAATCATATTACGACCAGGTCTCATTGCAGGATGCACGCTTACAAGGTTGCCAGTCGAGTCTTGAGAGTCTGTAATATTAGCCGAGGTATAAAACACCACATTGCGCCACTAGAAGAATACGTGAGGAATGCGAACACAATAAAGTCCAACGCCAGTGCTCAGGTAGCTGTAAAATGATAGCCATTTGATTGTATTCGGCGCTATGGAGGCATTAAGAATGTCGACGCGACAAGTTATGCAAGATAACTCACCAAGAGCGGGTATAGGCTTAATGTGGTCATCGTAAACGGTGTCGACATTCCAGTTACCAGTATTGTTGACTGGTGTCACTGATGCGCCATCTACATATCCACAACTTACGTTGAACGTCATAGCATTTCCTTGTCCAGGGTTGTCCGACAGCGCATCGTAAAATGTCCCGTTCTCAAGGCCAATCCTAGAGATGCGATCACTGTAAGAAAGGTATGGAATGACGGGAGTAGAATCGAGGAAAATATTCGAAGGATTAGATGAATTACTAACAGATTATCAGTGATCTGCGATAGCGAGTAAGAGCGAGACACGTACAGATTTTTGACCGAGATGTTAGGCGGCCCCAACGTGGTAGATATTTCCGTATGGCGAGTCATATTAAATGGCCTAAAGATGGCAGGGGCAGTGATATGGAGAACGGTAGCAAACACGAAATATGCAACCACAGAGAGAACTCCGATGACGTTAGCTGCGATAAATGTCTGGTGCCAAAGGGCGAGCAAGGCAGCTCCCAGTCCTGTTCGGGCAGACACAGTCAAGGTCTATCTTGTTTGTGAATTTTGCCGAGTAGCCAGCTGCTGGCTGACGAAGACGAGTCCTGCCAGGTATATCTAACAAGAATAATGAGGATAAGCCATCGTTATGTCAACAGATGGATGACCTCACTGTAATGATGACTTGCGCTTGAACTATGACGGTGGATAGAATATCGCTCTCTTTTCCAATGGGAATGACAGTATTGTGTTCCACTCGAGTGGGACATATCAACAGAAGGAGGAGGTAGATGAAGACGAGCCCTGCATACAGAGAGAAGCAAATAACCAGATTTCCTCTGTTGTCTCGACATGCTTACGATCGTACGCGCCAGAGCTTGTTCAGCGGTGTTACCTAGACGAATTAAAAATCAGTACAAGATCGACAATGGTTCAATCGCACAATCCTTGTGCTCAGAAAGGGCAGAAGTCGCTGACTGTGAATCGTCGAATGGGTTATAGGAACTCGGTAGTTATTGGTATTGTGCGTTGCCGAGGTTCGTAGACGGTGAAGACGTTTATACTGTCTCCCTACTGGCACAGCCAGCACGAATACAATTTGTACAGATCAGAGGACATGCAGATCTGCATGGAAGGCACTGTAACCTAAAAACAGGTCACATCTTTGACGTGGTGATTGGCGGAACTGAGAGGCCAAATTCTTGGTACCGTTATTAGTTTTCAATGTCAAAGCTGAGTCCAATTGATTCTCGCGTGCTCTACAAAATGGAAGAAAAAAAATAAAGCTATGGAATCTATCAATTGCTCTGCTTATGCACTGCCCGGAGTCTGAAAAGTGGAACTCACGTTGTGCTTGAGCATTTGAGCGACAGTAAGATTTCTCTTATTGAATATAGGCGGCCTCCTGATGGTCGCCACTCAGTCTGGCTTTGCATTTCTTCATGAGCTACGGTTCCTCCTGGCGTATATACCTATGTACAGGACAGTGAGCTCAGAATACTGGAAAGATTATAACGTACAAGTGTTCAGAATCCTCTTTATATGACAAGTCGGAGTATCCATATTTCGCCGCGTTCCTCTCCCATCGTCTTTCCTTGATGGCTAGTCCTTCAGAATCAGTTCACCTGTGGATACCTTGAAGGATTATTCTCGGAAAAAAAGTCTCCAGTTAGATACAGAAGCAACAACTTGCAGAGTTACTGCGAGTGTCCACTGCGCATCGACCACCATCGTCGCGGTAGGTAGATAGACGATCGGCCGAAAATAACCGACAAATTTCAAATTTCGGCCCCGGGGGTTCTTAAATTAATCATCCTTTAGCCAACCTTCACTATTAGCTTCAGCTACAGCCTTCAAGTTTTCATTATTAATCGTTTACCACCAGAAACCATTTAGCTTGGGCGACAGAGTACGTATTCACTACCAACCTTCCGATTCAATATCTATCTCTGTCTTTCTATCCGCCACGCCGCTGGCCTTCGACCCATCTCCGTATCGAACACTTGAAGTCGTAGGCTGCTTCTCCCACAGGGAACTGGACCTCGACTTGATGCAATATCAAATACTGCTCGTACTGATAGCCCCTTCTCGGACTCAGGCATTATAAAATGCCCATATACTATCCACAACTGCTCCCACCAGCCAGTACGGTCTGGAAACTCGCGCTACTCGTCGCATCGCTCTCCTGGCTTGCCCAATTTCTTGCCTCCGCAAACGACAGGCTCGTCGTCGACACCGGATACGCAAAATACCGTGGCAACCTTTCGTACCCCGACACCGTAGCCTATCTTGGTATCCCGTACGCAGAGCCCCCTCTTGGTGAACGTCGATTTCGTGCACCCATCCCTCTAGACACGGCGCGAGTCGCAAAAAAGGCCAACGGAGCTGTCGTCGACGCGACGTCTTATCCCGACTTCTGCGTCCAGGGATCTACTGGAGGTATGCATGTATGACGCGCGCTATTCATGTCAAAGAGTTTCTGAAGTACCATTTTTCATGTTTCAGCTGGCGATGCTGGAGGCGCCGGCACTGAAGATTGTCTGAAAGTCAACATTTATTCACCCATCAATGGAAGCAACTGTAGGCATCCCAATAGCAGCACGCGAACACCGCTGACGACGTTCATCTAGTACCCGTACTTGTATACATCCACGGTGGAGGCTACGTTTACGGCAATCCCACCAACTTCCCCTTCGACCATTGGGTCCATCAAAGCCCCAATGTCGTCATCGTCTCCATCTACTACCGCCTTTCGTCCTTCGGGTTCCTCGCCATCCCGGAATTCGCAGACACCACCAATGGAGACTTCAACGTAGGATTCCTTGACCAGATACAGGCGCTGAAATGGATCAAACGACATATACGAGCATTTGGCGGCGATCCGTCGCGGGTGACGATTAACGGTGAGAGCGCGGGAGGATCCTCGGTGGAGCTTCATCTCGTTGCGCATGAAGATGAATCGCTGTTCTCTGGCGCTATCGTGCAGAGCGCTTATAGGGCTCCTCTTCCATTCCCCGAGCAGCAACGCGTAAGTTATTTTTGTTACCCAACTGTCAGTCAGTGCTTTGACTGATCTCCTGGTAGTCCTTGTTCGAATTCTATGCGCAGCGAGCAGGATGTGGGTTCGACAGCCTCTCTTCCAAGTTGCAATGCCTGAGAGATGCCAACGTGAGCGCCCTTGCTCGTGCTCAAGACGCAGCGGCAAGCAGTGAATTGTACGTTTCGTTTGCTACTAGGCTCTTGAGCCATCTCATTTCAATCCTGCCAGCGCTGGTCCGTATAACGCCTTTCATCCTGTTGTGGATGGCCAGATCTTCACTGAATTCCCAACAATATCCTTGGCTTTGGGCCACTTTGCCCGCATCCCTCTTATGGTTGGGTAAGTGTTATTACATTCTTCTCGAAATGACAACTTTATTTCAGCTAGTGCGACTTCAAACGAGTCATATGTTCTAGGGTACGATATCCCATCATCCCTGAAACCCCTGTTCCCAGGACTGGACGAACAAGATATGCATGATTACCTCTTGGTGAATAACTTTTCGTCGTTGTGGTTTGTTTACTCGGAACTGACCATTCCTACAGGCATACCCTTCTTCATACTTTGACTCCGAGGAACAAAGGCTGGCCACAGCGACGGGCGAGTCCTTGGATCGATGCTGTGTAGGTACATTCAAGGTGCTGAATTTAGTTCCAACTGACGTGCGCTTTGGCAAAGCGGCAAATACTGGCCAGCGCTTATTCCAGCAAAGGGATCAACACGTGGGCCTATCGGTACAACCAACCCAATCCGACAAGCGACAATCCTACCATTGTTGCTCACGCGGCAGAGAATTGGATGATGTTCCGAGGCAGTAATACTGGGTAAGGACATTCCCTTTCTCTGATGCACTCCTTGCACTGACGCGAGGAGCAAGATACAATGGCTCAGCAACGTTCAGTTCAATGACGCCAGAGGAAACGGCTTTCTCACAGGAACTGATTGCGTATTGGCTCTCCTTCGTGCGGGCAGAAGATCCAAATACTTTCAAGCTGAAACGATCACCCGTCTGGGATCGCTTCTCCTTGGGGGAGAAAAAGCAGATTGTGCTGCAACAGAACACCACGACGATGAGTGGGAGTTTCATTGAACTCGCGGATGAGAAAGAGGTGGCGAGGTGCCAGTTCGTTGCCAGTAAGGCGGAGAAGGAACAGAACTAGTGCCGTATGATGAGTGTTCAGACTGTCTTGAGAAGTATGATGGGAAACGAATATGAAATATTCAGATTCGAATAGGAGAGAATATTGATGACACGCTATCCAAGGTCACCGTTAGTTCCCAGCTCATGCTCTGGTTCCGGGTCTGTTTCAGCCCCCCGAGGTCGCGACTCTGAGGCTGCCGACTGCTCGGGCTCAGATGGTGGTGTAGTGACTTTGCTTTGAGACACGTCGTGATCCTGCAAGCGACCTTCCCTCCTCAAACATTCATGCACGAAGCGTAGAAATGACCCGCCCTCCTTCTCCAACTCGTGTAATAGCCGATGGTCATTGAATTGCAACTGGTACTCCAGCCCATCACAGAAATCGCGGATGTTATTGATGTGCATCCGCATCTGTCTTTGGAACTGCCCTGAGTCCGTTAGGGGATCATCAGGGAGTGGCTCGGAGGTTGCAGGGGTTTCGCGATTAGCATCTTCTCGGTCCGATTCCTCGTCCTCGTCTGAATCGAGGTATTCGAGTTCTTGAGTTATTTGCCGCTGCTGAGAAGACATTGGAGGCGGTAGAGGCTGGGGAGGCATCATCCACGGTACTTGAGGCTGAGGGGGCTGAAGCATCATATACGACGGCCAAGTTGGGTTCACGAAGAAGCCCGGGGGAGGTTCGTGATAAGGTGCATGCGCAGCATAATGATGTATCCGCACGGTGACCATGCGGTGATTCGGTTGGGTGGTATCGCGAGATGAGATGAGGAGCCTGCTATGACACGGGTAGCGAGTTTTGGCAACCACTTCGCCTGTCACGAGTGTACGGGCCTTTTCGGGAGGTCCTTTGCGGTTCTGTCGGGCATCGTCTTGGGTACACCAAAGGCGAGTTTTGTGGCCGTCCTTCGTACGCGGGTGGTCCTTGACGCTAGAAGAACTTGGGTAAGCGTGAAAGTTCACCTTTTAAGCATACATATACTTACGTGAACCGATACCCGGATGTTCTCCATACATCGTGAGAGACCAATTGAACGCGGTGTTTATCCAGCATGGGCGGCTCATTAAGCACGATGTAGCTGCCACTGAAATCGACTTGCTTCTCCTGCATGAAGCAGATTCGAAGCGCGTCTAGCATTTCTTGGCTGCTCTCATATACTTTGGCCTACAATTCCAGCCAGGTCAGAAGGACCCTTCCTCCCGAATGTCGGGTGACGCACCTTCCTCAGCACCTTCTTCCGCTGGTTCTGGACTCCGTTGACGCGTACATTAGATTGCCATGGTGGAATGTAGCTTGATCCTGCTTCGCGCCCAGAATCGTGCGCGTCTCGCTTGCGCTTGCCGTTCGTGTGCAGACTAGGTTCGGTTTCGTCGCCGTTCTGTAAGTGAGGATCAATCGCACCAACCACCGGTAACGCAAGGTTAGAGTACATCGTAAATGTGCTCATTAAGCCGTCAGAGTAGTGGTACGAATAAGAAGGCTATTAACCAGAAAGTTGGGCTTTAGACTCGTAGTGAAAACATGTAGCAGCCGCGATTGTCGTCCTAGTCAAACAAAAAGCGGTGTAATGTAGATTGCGTTTGTTTGACACCTTCCGAATTTGGTCCTACAACAAATGCCGCTGTCAAAGCCGGGTTCTATTTCTCCGACTCGGAGACTCATTGGAAGGATGTTTGAGGAATCAGGAAATATATAATTTAACTGAACCCAATGCAAGAATTAATAGCAGCATCAATATCATTCAGTACATACAAGATGAGTTGGAAACCACGGAGAAGTTCAGAGCACATTACATAGGAAAAGAATTTAAACATTCAATTTTAAAATATTATATGATACCTATCTACACTCTGAAAAAAAAATTTACATCCATATAGCATAACCAGTGCACCAAGATAAGATCAAGCAATGGAAATTTTCTTCGGCCCAGGAGCTTCGGTCCCAACCTTCGGGAACGTCACCGTGAGCACCCCGTCCAGCGTCGAGGCCTTGATTTCCTCGTCCTGGAACGTAAGGGGGATCGGAATCAGGAATAGTATAAAATTTACAAAGAAAAGAACTTACATTTACACCGCGAGGAAGCTGCAGTGTCCTAGCAAACTTCCCATACCGGCGTTCCCGGACTGCATAGCCATCCTTCTCGTGTTCCTCTGAGATCTTACTCTCAGCTGAAACGGTCAGGCGCCCGTCGTGGACGTCGATGGATATTTCGTCCTTCGACAAACCGGGGAATTCGAAGGTAGCGGTGACGGTATTGGTGGAAGGATCCTCGTGAAGATCCATCCTAACCAAATAGTGAGCATATAATGAATGACCCGTGACAAGACAACCGACATGCCTGGGTTTCAAGAACCTTTGTATTTCGCCGTGGGAACCTTCAGCCAAGCGTTGCTGCATGGTGTGATAACCACTAGCTGCGCTGGAGCCCAATGCTTGGTCCAAGAAGCGGTCCCAGTTGTAGAAAGGTTCGTAGTAGAAGACAGACATGATAGTCGATAGTAAGCAGACTATTGAGCGACTTGCGAAGTTGCACTGAGACCGTTTCAACAGCAAGAATTTATACCTCCAGAGTGATTCTCGAAGTTTCGAAGGCTCGTAAGGTATGTCATTCATAGAAAGATCTCGAAATTTAGCGACCTAGTCAATAGTGACACGTGATAACCGACGCTCTGGAGCGCGCGGTCCGACAAATGCCGACGCGGGCTTGCTACTTCCAGATTTGAGTATCCATGACAACGACGTGCAGATTGTACTACATAGCACCAAGTAGGAAAGAGAGAGCGATGATAGGTCCGGAGTATAACCTCAGTCCGCAGGGCAGTAGGTAAGCCGAGTTACACGCAAGGTCGAGAACCTTCTTGGAGCACCTGTTGGATGTCACCTGCAGGAGAAGGTTCTAGCAATAGCGGAAAAGAATGATATAAGGGACTCTCACCTCTGAATCAGCATTTTTCACACAAACCAAACGACGATGTCCCTTTCCTTTTACGAACCATTCCACAATTTCGGTGGTCTTCTGGGTGGATTCTCCTATCCAAGCCGCACTATGTTGCAAGCCACCACGGAATCCATTTTGCGTCCAAAGTAAGTTCGGTATATGTTCGCTGCTTTAACGTCGTCTGATCGCTTCCTTGCTTCTTCTCCACAGAATGGACCTCCACGAAGACGCAGACCGAAACGTTGTGACGGTGACCTTCGAGTTGCCAGGAGTGAAGAAGGACGACGTGAACATTGAGGTGCACGACGGACATCTCACTGTCTCCGGAACAGCCAAAGCTTCCGAGGGGGAGGGAGATGGGTACTCCCATCGTGAGCGCGAGTCCGGCAAGTTCTCGAGGACGTTGAGGCTTCCTCGCGGCGTCAAGGTAAGCCATCAGCAGCAGGTTTGAAGGAGAAGCAGACTCACTGGTACTCTCTGCAGAAGGAAGAAATCAGCGCTTCTATGGAGAACGGTGTTTTGACGGTAACGTTCCCAAAGGCTGCACACGAGCCAGCACCACGGAAAATCACGATTGCATAAGACGATATGTTCTCATTGGACGTGCCATGGACACCAGAAGTGTAGTATTATATGTATAACATCATGAAGTTCTATGATTGTATTATGTTGGTCAGACTGTTGTGAAATTGTAAAAGTTAAAAGACAAGAATAGCTCACAAATAAGGGAATGGAGACATTTCAACCTCATCCAGGTCGTGGACGTGATCGTCCTACCAAGAGGTAATGATCTAGAGAGGCTTTGCTGGTAATTGGGTCAATAGGACACCGTAGCGCTTCTTGATCGTCACACGGTGCCTGGAGAACTTGTCATCCGGTGAAAATCTGGCTTCATAAGAAGGACGTCAGTGATGACGATCTGAACAGGATCATCCCTATAATCACCAGGGTGCGCCGACTTTGTGATTTTCCCTGCATCAGTTGCTTTCTAAGAAACAAGAAACTTTGGTCAGCGCGGCACGAAAAGAAGAAAAAGATCATCGAGTCTAACTTTAAGCGTATATACTCTATTTCCATCTGCATCGAGAGTATACATCAAATGCATCTTAGTAGTGAGAAAAGTGTTTCGACCACTATTTGGTCGTATTTTCTCCCAACCAACCGACGAGCATCGGAAGGCGGACCGGCCGTCCGGTGTCTTCTCCCGCGAAGTGTACCCCCGGAAGCCTAAGTTGTCTATTTCGATATTTCCAGCCTTCGCTGTTTGCCGTTTGCTTTTCCTGCTCTATTTCTCAATTGGATAGCCGCAGTGGACCGGTTTGCAGCCGCTATACTTGTATCTGCTGCCTAACGTACCGGCGGTAACGTTACGTGGCATGGGAGTGGGAGTTTAATTGGAGAACACAGACAACTCCGAGGTCGATCTGGTGGATTCATTTTTGTTCCCACCGCTATGGAGATATCGAAGTCGACGAACCCGATCCTATGGTAACTATGGCTAACAATAAAACCGGGCCATGAGCTGTCACAGCCGGGAGCGACCTCTACTAATTTACTCGCGGTCACCGCCCCCTTATACTCTTCGCCAGCAAACTGACACTCGGGAGGAAGAGATAGACGTTTCATCTGTCCTGGGAGTATATCTTTTAGGAATTTTCATCTCTATCACGCGGATCTCGCATCGTGGCGTTTCCTTAATGATCTGCCTGTCGGCCAGATTCTTGGTGTCCGAATTTGCGACTCAATTGAACCTTCTCCATCACCCAGTTGCGTATTAAGGGACCTTGAAATCTCAGATGAAGAAGTCTTCTCATGTCAATCTCATGTTATGCCCTGATCGGAACGCGACCGTCGATCAGTGATGCCTCCTTACAAAACCAGGACTGTGGCGCGTCATATTCTCTGTAGGATCCTTAAACACTTAGGCCATCAACTGACAACAAGAACCGTCCTGTCTGGAAGACTTTGTCCGCATTTACAGGAATCGGGTCTGCAGTCGACTGTTTCCTGCTGCTATGTTTGGACTCAACAGAACATACTATGGACTTTACAATGAATGTATGTTTACAATTAACTGCTTTCATAATTCTGAAATGTTCATATAATTTTCGTACATTACAGTATCTACATGGATTCTTCCCGAGAACAACATGTAACACTACAAATAACTTAATATTGATGTCTCTATCTGACGTATCCCATTATTTTCTAAGAACATCTTACCTCAGTGTGAACAGGGTCAGCTACCTGTCGTTTCAAGGCCACCTTCAAAACATCTATCAGCCTTAGTGATGTACAGTCAGAAGCACGTTCACCTAGTAGCTCTCTAGAGGCCGGAACTGCCTGGGGTGCACCCGCTTGATCATACGGCTACTGTCTGCAGCAGGAGCCGTCTCTCTGGCTTCGGCATGAGCCGAAGCACCACCGTTATTCCTTGCCACTGGATAACGAGAAAGCCGCGTGGCCCTAGGAACGTTATCTCTGGAGACATGGGGAATAGCCGCAGCATGAGCGAAAGCAACTATGAAAGCAGCGACGAGGGTGGCGATGAAGAAACGCATTATCGTTAAACAAGATAGGTCGAGATATGGTGTAAGGATGGACGGAGAGCGGAACAAGACCAAGCTTGTTAAGAATAAGAGTCAGTCACAACAGAGACAAGACGAGACCAAAGCTCGTCAAAAGGGTGAAGGCTAGCTTGGGAAATGAGTGATGCGAAACTCCATGTTTTAAAGGATCGAGCGTTACCCCGTTGACAGGCCCCCATTTGAAAGTTTAGGGCTGATGCATGACGACAAACTGTTACGGGATACTGCACAGGGATCAATGGTTCGCAACAAGCCCGCCCCTATCACAAGACTTTGATGCATCTCCGCGGTGCTCCAAGCATTGAGGAGGGACACTGATGATCAAAGGACGTCGCCATGGCCCGTTCTACACGGACTTGGCAATTGATACCTACCAACACCGACTATAGAAACGTTGACTGATGGAGGCCATGAAGCGGCTGCCGAGGGGTGCTCGGATGTAAGCAACTAGTACAACAATCCTTCAAAACGAATACAATCGGCACATACATGTTTTTTCATATAACTACTTCCGATGTACTGTACTCATGGTTTTCCGCAAGAATCAACAACATGCTGTTTTGCACGACGTTGTTCCATGCCTCCAACACCTTCCATGTCTTCTGGGGCTTCGCCGTCCTGGTTCAACTGAATTGTATGGGTCAGCCAGAAAAGCGAATACGCCACAAGAACTATCATACCCGGCCTCTATCTGCTCCGGCCTCAATGAGAACGACAGCGGCTTCTGCATGAGCAGAGTCCATTGCCAAGTGGAGGGGCGTGTTCCCTGAAAAGGTTAGGTCCGTTGGTGATCTCCATTATGTCAGAACGAAAGGCATACCAATCCGATCCGCAGGGTTGATTCGTGTCTTACTAGGCGGCTTGGATGATTCCAACAAGAGGCGTATAAACCCCACAGAACCCGTGGTTGCAGCACGATGCCTGCCTGGACTGTCAAGCAGTGGCGGGAGAAGGAGAGAATCCAGTCTTACAAAGGTACTTGTCCGGCCCTATCCCTTGCGTTGATCTATAATAGTTTCAATGAGTGAAGCCCAGTGTCCCCAAAGGTGGCTTACATCGGCACCACGCGATATCAGAAGTTTGCCAATCTAGAGGACGGAGAAGTCAATATATGAAACCGGTGTTTCATTGAGGAAGTAATATGTACTTCGAGACGCGATTTAGATGCCGCGTAGTGTCTTCCAGTAGTACTTCATAAGCATCCGCTAGAGGTGGACTAACGAACGCTCACAGCGGAGTAAGCCCTTTGTCATTTTTCCTAAGAGAAATATGTAATGGATCCTTCGTTGGAATATTGGGCGCACCTGTTGATGTCCGCACCTGCACCTACTAATTCCAAGACGACATCTTCATTGCCGGCACTAGCTGTTCATGTGTTCCGTGGGTATGACATCAAAGGCAAGAAGCAGAGTTGTTACCTGCGATATGTAGAGGTGTCCATCCGCTATTATCCGGCAAATCAATATCTGCCTTGTTATCGATGAGGTATCGAGTGATCTCGAGAGAACCGGACGATGCAGCCCAGTGTAAAGGTGTCCGGTCATCCTTGCCAAAGTCAGAATAGCATCATAAACAATAAAAACTAATTTACCGCATCAAGAGCATTCACAGATTTGGGGTTTTCCGTTACCAATGCCTTTAGCAGACCGGGCTGGTCTGAAGAATTGTTAGCACGCCGAAAAGGTGAAACAGATGAATAGACCTGACTGCTCTGTGCGGCATTGTGGATAGAAAGTGTTGACATATCAGTTTTCCTAAATTCTAAAAGATCCACTTCGAGGCAAATGGTTTTAAGTCACGGTACGAAGCAAAGGTTGACGCGTACTAGGCCCGGGCCGGACCCCCGTGTTCTCTGTGTGGTTGTATTAGGATCGGACGCCATCCCTGCGACGGGATCGGCGCCAATTTGTTCGTTTTCATAATCTCTTCATCAGCGGGTACCTTCCCGACGTCCGACTGCCTGCGGAATGCCTTCGGTATCGCTGAATGACGAAGAGGCGGCGTTGGTAGCGCCTCTGCCTCATGCACTCATTGAATTTCTCGCCAAGGAACCCAAGAATACTTTGACTCGCTTATACCAACGACCGTCTTCATGCCTTGCAATATTTCGGTACCACATCCCTCCGCACCCTTACTACGTCTTTTTAAAAAGAGAATTCCAGGCTTCTTTCCCCCCTGGAACGCCAAATTGTTATGAATCTTTTGTGGCTAGAATCAGCAATACCTCCCTCGACCATGGCGGCATGGGTAGTCCGTGAACATAAAAAGTGTTTTCTTCGTTCGCCACGCCTTGAAGCCTTCTTCATGTAGCTCTATAGACTGTATGATGACGCTATGGAGGCCCTGACGGACCTCAACATCTTGCCCAACTCTATTGTGAAACTAGCATTGAACGCGACATTCAAGACCAGTTTTAGACAAGCGATAACAGGCGGGTGAGGCCTATGGCTCCTTGGAAGCTCATAGTATAACTCTCTCTTTCTCTCCTTCAGAGGTGCCAGTGGTAGTTTTGGCGTGCCAGCGGAGAAGGACGATAAACGGCCACCCTTTGACGTCGATTCTCTTGACGGATACGCCTTAGAGCGCTGGGAGGTATAGGCCGCATTCTTATCCCGGCTAATTGATCTCAGTTCCTCCATCCAGACTATTCTTCATTACATGGTGTCCTCTGGTAGCGGCCAGAACCCTGCTTCGCCTTCACCCGGTGTCCTCTATTTGTTGCAAAGCAGCGGTCTCATGGCATCTCAACAGTACGATCTGATCTCTGTCTAACAACCTCTCATTTACCCCTGCATTGTAGAGGTGCCGCGCTTCGTATTACATCGAAGGGTTTCCAGTTCCTCCTTTACCCCCCTCACGCTCAGCTCTGGCACCTATTACTGCAGTATCTAGAAATGGCTGGTGTAAGCTCACTTACGTCCCATGCTCGGTCAAATCTCCTGACATAGCCTAATAGCAACGACACATGGACCTGGTCGAAGTCCTGAGTTTCTTATTTATGTTGTCGACCATGGAGCTCGGCCGAGTAGAACCCCTTTTCCTTGGAGAACGTACTAACTGACGGCTTCCACCGCAGGAATACTCGATTGAGAATCTTTCTCAGACCCAAAAGGCCATGCTCGAAGACCTTCGGGACTATGGCCTCCTGTGGCAGCGTAAGGTCCGTTGATTTATTCAGTCAGATCTCACCCTTTTTCACTATCTGCTAGCCTTCATCTCGGCGCTTCAGCCCCACACGCCTCGCGACCACCCTAACATCATCTTCTCCTCCACTGCCTACGTCTGCTGGAACAAGCTCCGGTCCCAAGGATGGTTTTATTGTGCTTGAGACCAATTATCGCGTCTATGCATACACAGGTATGTATGTTTACGTCCCACTAGTCCTCCATTCCATTTTAATCGGCATCAATAGATAATCCCTTGCAAATTGCCGTTCTTAACCTTTTCGTATCCCTGAAATACCGGTTTCCTAACCTTGTGGTCGGGTCTATCACTCGTGAAAGTGTTAAGAAAGCTCTTACGAACGGCATTTCCGCAGATCAGGTCTGCTTATCACCGTGTTTCTTTTCTTAAGTGGCAGCATTCTGATCGTGGTCACAGATCATCAGCTACCTGGTGACACATGCGCATCCCCAGATGCGCAAAAATGTACCTTCCAGTTTCCCAGTTTCTGGATGCCCGCTGAAATGAGCGCTCTAGAACCCACTACTTCCTGTGACGGTACAAGATCAAATCCGCTTATGGGAGTTGGAAAAAAATAGGCTTAAGTCTCAAGAAGGTTCGCTGGCTTTATTGTTACGAAACGTTGAACATGCCTTGCTGACGACCTTTGCCATTATAGGATGTTTGTATACATCTTTCACGTCTCAAGCAGATTACGAGCTCGTCCTGAAATACGCTAAGCAGCTCGATGTCGTACTATGGGAGAACGCTGCCAAACGATGCTTTTTCGGCAGCTTGGAGGGGCACGCCAATATCCGTGAATTTATTGAAAGAAGAAAACAGAGCCAGATGGATAGTTGATTTTTCTATTAGTGAGTGATCCCTCCCGCGCTCGGACCGCTGTCGGAACGTACCCGCAGTCTTGCTGTGTATTTTTAGAGAAGAAAACGTTGTTTCGTTGTTATGTGGCCTAATACGAATGCCTCGAGTCGTTGAAGTCTACCCCTCGACGTAAGGCTTTTTGTCTGGTGACACTCGTGTGACACTGTCTTCTGTGTCTATCCTTAGGTGTCTCTTCCTTGATTGTCACCTTGGTATCGCTCTGACTGAAGCCTCATCTTGTACCTCGCAGTGCGATCCATCTATGTATAGGATAAAATTCTTTCTCAACGAATCGGAATTTACGTATAAGCGGAAACGAGCAGTTCCGACGTAGTCGGCTAGTAAATCATTTGAGTGCGCTTCCTAAGTCGATTCTTCCCGATATCCCGTCGTAACTTTTTGCATTAGTGTTGTACATCGAAGGTCATTAATGGATCTATATACATGGCTATGTGAAACGTATGTTATAACCAACGAGGGTGTCTTTTTCTATATGCGAAGAGATACAGAAAAATAAATTGGAATGAAGTTTTAGTGTACATAAGAGCCAAACGTGTACGTGGTCCAAAAATTAAACAAAAACACGTGAAGTCTAATTTATGCATCCCCGTAGTTCTGAGAGCTGGTGTGAGCACCGAAAGGAGGAGCATATCCGTGGTTCGAGAAGCTTGGTGGTGGGGGAGGAGTGGTGACGTTCAGGGTGCCGCTCTCGCCCGGTGCTGGCCATGCCGAGCCGTATGCATGATATCCCTCTGGGGTGAAAGCGGGGGAAACGGATGACGGTGAGGTATAGGACGATCTGCAATTTGAGCGGGATTCGCGATCACCTGAAGACTCTTGGTTCAACAGCCATGGCGCCCGATGAGAACCCACTTCGCGACCACGCCCGATGCTATATTTTGAACCGAAGCTAGGCAGCGTCTCGCTTTCTCTTGGGTTATTCTGATAGCTGTTGATGGTGCGCGGGCGAGGACGGTCATAGTACACCCCGCTGCCAGACGAAGGCGACTCGTAGCGTGCAGATTGAGGCGACGACCACGAAGTAGACGAAGGCACCATTGAACCCTCGCGCCTGTGATGGCTGGAATGAGAGGTCGCCGACGACAACGGCCATGGCAAATCATGTCGCGCCGGCGATGCCACCCGAACAGCATCTCCACTAGAAGACCATCTGTCTTCGACACCGTCCCGGTGATATGAGGAGCCGTGATTCATATAAAGGTTCCCCCCGAAAGGGCTTTCGCTTGGCGACATGGGGCTGACAGGAGAGTTCGGGGAATGGGGGGAAAGTTGGTAGGTCGGTTCCTCCACCTTGGGTTCAACGATGCCGTCGACATCTTCCGGCTCGGTTCTAGGTAGAGAATTAGCCATGAACGATCCCCTGGCCATGGTGAACGCCACGTACACGAGTCTTGGCTTCCCATCTGGGCCTATCTCGATCTTTGGAGGCACACGGAAGTTCGTCAGGCGGAAAAGGTGCGGTGGCATGTACAGCGACATGATATCAGAGCGTGTCGACGGTCTCTGCAAAAATCCCTCCGAAAGAATGTCCTATAATCGTGGGGAAAGTAACGAACCTTCAATTTCCCACTGCGAATGTCTTCGGAGGTATAATAAGAAATAAGATGGAGATCAGAGCCGTCAATAGTGACCGTGATGGTCTATAATCAAGTCAGCTCTTTCTGCCCTTCACTGCGTCACAACCTGCTCTGACCTTTTTGATCAACCCATTAGGCTTGAACGCCCCATGGTCGCCCGTAGTACCGCCCGGAGAACAGGACTTGTATCCAATGGAGGTTTGGCTCGGAGATGTTCTATGGCCAGTGAGCGACCTTGCCTGTGTATCCTCCAGTCCATATGATCTTCTATGACTTCCACGACTGCTTGCTCGCTCGTTAATCTCCCGATAGACCTGGTAAGAACACCACCACAATTAATAGTGCCCTCCCGGATTATACCATGGCCGATACCCACCAAGAAATTGCCGACGATTCGAGACGGTGACCAGAGGAGCCCATCTTGCGTCCGGTAAATAGGTAGATGAGCCGGTGATGAAATCACTCGGAGAGAAACTCACCGGTCCATCGTTTGATGCCGCTCTCCTCGACGCTGAAAACGAAGACCGATCCGCTTTTGATCATATCCCGCCGCTCCGAATCGTTCAAGCGCCGGGTGATGCGAGGGATGACTCCTTGTCTTGCAGCGTGAATTAGACGAAGAGCGTTGACGGTCGTTTCGACATATCCATAGAATGGCTCGACGTCCGATGAAGAGGTGGTGGTGGTCATGGCTTAGCGCGTTTAAGTTTGAGGTTGTTAGAGAGGTGTAGGTGAGTATATGAGGACAGACGACTGTACCTTCTTTACGAATTCCATTTTGTAGGTTCTTTGCATAATCAAGCATCCCATCGAGTTCCGGATCGATAGCGTGGCCCATTGCCAGATATCCCGGGGTCGGATAGGGTTTTTCATGCAGCAGGTTACCGTAAGTGGGGTTTACCTGATATTTTTGGCGCCACTTCTCATATCTCCCTCGTTTAGCTCTCCGAAGGGATCCCCTTTGAATTTTTAGGTTTATTAAAAACGCTTTGTAACATTAAATCCAGCCGTTTCAATTCATAATCACGAGGTGAACTCTACATACCACTTCCATCTGACTATCAGGCTATTGAATCTATCTCGGTGACGATACCGGCCCCAATCCTCGCCTGGTCGCGCACCTGCCATTCACCCAACAACTTCGCTTCATCGTACTAGGCTCCGCTGCACCGCCATCTGTACCTGTATCCAAATTCGAAACCCAGGCCTTGCTTCCAAAAAGCCGACTCGACGTGAAATAAGGTAAGCGTCAGCAAACTCGCGGCCTATTTCCGAATCTACGATTTCTCGGCCCGTTGTGCTCATGGTTCGGTATTCACTGGTAGTAGGCGACGGTCATCATCCGACCTCGGCAGGAGTGTCAACAAGCACGGCTCGGCAGGAGCTTCTGCACCAATATATTCAGCATCTATTCTGGGATTCCAGAGATTGTCGATGTGGGAGAATTTGAATCACGGTCGTTTCCGGTTTGCAGAGCATGCATCCACGTCGAATCTACTGCCTATCCGATGCATTCTGCCAAGCATCTGCGTATTTTCATATCGCGTCCTCGCTCGAGGCATCAACTGCCGCAAAATGGTGGAAATACATATGTGACAGAAAAGGCGACATAATTAGAGACGAGGTAATCGGATTTCCTACCTGCTGGATACTGTTAAGGACCTTAGGCGGCAAAATACTGTCCCCTCGATTCGTCGGTCAAGACTAAGAATATGCATAGTAGTCCTAGTCGGTTCAAGAAGACACCAAATTGGCACTTCCAGCACTTAACTGGATAAGTTCAAGGGGGTCCTTATTAGAAAATTGACGTCTGTACCCCTTCCCCATGAACTGCGCCTCGTCACGAGTCGTAAGATGGCATCTCTGGAAGTTCCACTGGAAGCAGTAATATGGTCGCCCAAAAGCCGCCTCAGCAGAATCCCGGTACCCATGAGAAGTCGAATCTACGCAGGCCCCTTCTGCTTCAATGGTTCCGTACACAAATTTAAGGGTACAACGTGCTCGATTAAATGCATTAAGCGCGACTTTGCAGCTCACAGACGACTCCAATTGATGTATTAAGCTACTTTATTGAATGCCATAATATAACGGTAGACACAGCGTAGAAACAGTCATCACAAGGTACGTATACGAAGTCCATCTTTCATTATCATTCGGTCTTTGTCACAATGAATCCCCCTTCATATCCTACAGTATCGGCTGAGGTCGTCGTTTCTCGCCAACGACCTACGAAATTCTGATCGTGAATATATCCTTTGAAAATCCATTCCCCGAGGTCACTTCTAGGATCAGCCTGAAAGAAACTACTTAATCAGTGCATAAGAGTCATGTCAAAACAAGGATTTACCGGCTTTTGTAACAGCACGACTAACCCGTCCCAGGGCCTTACTCTCCCCACTATGCTATAATGACCCCAAGCGTCTCCATGCCGTTGACCGGTCTGCAAAGCAACATTCAGAAATTTAGAGTTGTTTGCCAAAGCCTCGGGCCTACCTCGCCGGTGACCAGGACATCGGCTACTCCGCTGCTACGGTACGAAACCGTATCAACGTACTCATCTGATGGTACTGTGGCGCCATATATTCCCGCCACCGCCTCGCCGTCATGCCGCCGATTGGACTGCGTCTCGTATTCGGAAGGGGATGTGGATCCAGGCACCTCATCGGTGGCGATCTCGTCGCACTCGTTCAAGATCCACTGCGGGTGGGGTCTCTCACATGCAGGCTTGAGGTATGGTGCTTCTCTAGATCCCCTGGGAATAAACGTGTCATATCGTATCTTGCAGTTGTTCTCAGAATCGTAGAATTCGATCGCGCCCTATAGCGGTCAGAAAGGGAAAATGTCAGTGTGAAGGTTGAAGGGGGGCCAGTGGAGCAGGGACAGAACCGCTCACATCCAGATGTGTCAGGAGGTGACCTCTTGGCAGCCATGCATTCAAAATATCGTCACCGTTGTACTCGTCTGTACCTGGAGCGATGGGTTCTGTCGGTTCGAAACAATGGTGTTCTTGTAGACTCCAATAGAGTGGTTTGCTGTGTAGGGGCAAGGCCCGCGGATCCACGTCGGAGGGGCCACGCAACAAGCCCATATGGGATTCAATATTCGTGAGCTGATTAGAATGGATCAGTATCGTCAAAACGGGAGCAGATGTAAGAACGCACCACCCAACGTCCAGCCCATGATCCCGTCAGGGACCCGAGGGAGAAAACTGGGCCCCTTAAGGCGCCTGGGAGGGCGTATGGGTCGTAACACGAAACCTCGCGATACCAATCTTGTTCGTAGCGCATAGAACCTCGAGTTTGATCGGGTTCCTCTTCATCTTCATGATGGCAATCATCGGAGTAGAATAGGTCATATGTATCGAAGGTCGCATGTGAGGGAAGAAGAAGCGGCCCTGGGGAATAGATTCTTAGCTGATGAAATTCCGTGAGATCTTCCGCGGTTGGGCCCCTGATACCGAGGGCATTAGCAGTATGTCTGTCGGTAGGGAATCGACCTAGTATGTTATAGTCCAATGGATGCGCTTGTTGGTACATTTCTTGTCTTACAGTCCATGAAAGCAAAGCTGCTGGTGTTAACACAGGCGCCGCAACAGTCAAGTTATGCCAGTAATGTACAACAGTCGTTTTTCTCGGATTAGGACCAGATATTATCGGGGGAAGAGGATAGACATCGGGAGAAATTGGCAAATGGAGAATAGTGTCGGGGGCATAGAGCGAGGGAAACTAGTGTCATAAAGTCAGATTTTTATTCCGGTGCATTTCTGGTTCATATGCGTACTCTGAAGCCTGCAGCGATGAAAATATGCAGGAGCGTTTGTGTCCAAAAGCCCCGCAGCCTGATGGATTCAGCAGACGGACGATCTGGCACGTCACGAGTCAAAAACCAAACTTCGCTAAGCCAAAACCACATTTACTTTGTGGGAGTAGCATCCAAAAGAGCCAAATTATGAGTGAAGTCGCTTCAGGGTCTTCATACCACATACCAGGGCCGCTCGGGCCCGACGGGATCCGCGTTAAGACGGCTCGGAAAAGATATTCGGAGATGCGGGTCCATTCGAGCTGGCGCTCATTACGGCCGTCATTTTCGGACATCCTTTCTCATCGTAAATCAATAGAACAACCCAAAGACGGGCAAGACGCACATTAAGTAACATGTCCATAAGTCTTGAAGGGAATACTCGTCACAATGACGGATGCGTTTCAAGGTCATGATTCGTTTGTGGAATTCGGCGGCCAAGCATTGCGAAGTCAGCCATCGAGGCGGGAGACGTCGTCGTGGTGCTTCAATGTCAAATTTAAAACAGAAAAGGCGAGCGTAAAGTCGTGGGTTGTTACTGAAACAGAGGGCATCATTGATGCGGCGACAGGTCAGCAAGATCGACGTCAGGCCAGACGGCGGTCCAAGAAAAGTGGTTTCCGTTGCGAGAGCATAGTAAGCGCACTGTTCCCAAATTTCCCGGGGCAGCCCCAGCGCATTGCCCATGAAGCGAATGACCGACAGGAAAATCCCAGAGTAGGGATTTTATGGACAACCAGATAGAGATGCGAAATACATCGAAGTTGACGGTGTGAAGGTGATCGCCGTGCTTCCCCGTCACAGGGTGAGAGGATTTGTCGACCTTTGATTTCTTAGGTATTGATATGCACCAGGATGGTGAGAAATCAATAAATCCAATCCTCTGTAGTCAAGTAATAAGTGTCAGTCTGCTACATTCGAGGAATCGTACGCACGTACCAGCAGCATAGATTTAAGGTAAGAACTGGTAAGAGTGAAGAAATGCCTTTCGAACGATGCCGTCACTTGGCCATCTGCCGGCCGCCGGCATGTCTCGGGAATTGCCGCAGAGTTTCTTCGAATTGGCAATCGTGTAATCTTCGTTCTCGCGTCAAGCGGGCGCATCGTCGCTGTAAACCTGTTGCACTTGAAACATTCCCTCCCTCCCCTCTTTCATCACATTAGTACTGCTAAGGGACCTTAACGTTGGTGGCTTTTTTTTACATTCATTTACTAATGACATGCTGTAAATATGGACCCGTTAATCATGGGGAGAATATAAAAAAAGATATGCTAGTTGACCCACGAATCTCGTGCAGTGGCGCGGATTCCCACACTTCATGCGACGGACTTTATGTCCAACAACTTTCCATCTCTCCATCTCATCATTATCTTCCGCGGTCTCTGAGAAAAGAGCAATTTGATGGGGAAAGAGTGGAAAAATCAGGTGGAAGCATCATTGTCACCCATCCGAAGTAATATTCTGTTGCAGGAATCGAAGAGTATATGCCGGTGAGATGATGATCGGCAGTTTTTGCTTTTGCTGAGTGCCAAGGGAACATTGCAAAGACATGTCAGGTAACTTAACAGTTGTATACACCTGTCCATGTAGTGCCGACACTCAGGCGCATTTGAAGAGCTGTGAACATGAGCCTTGTAGCAATGAACTAGCCACACGAACCATGAAATCAGCATCCAGAATACATGTCACGTAAAGGCAGTGGCAATCGAACTTAAATACCTCAGTGATCGGCGACCTCCTCAGCAGTGCTGATTAACACTGTCGACACATCATACGTACAAATGACTTGATGAATTAGGAGCGTGTCGGGTGCAAAGGGGAGAAAGGAGAGAACCCCCAAGGCCACAAAGGATGTAATCGCGAAAGGAGTGTGTATCTCTGTATGCGTCGGTATTGTGTTGGCGAAAAGGACTAAAAAGTCAAGGTCTCTCAAAGCGTCTTGTCATTTCGTAACCCATAAGCAGCGTCCAGCCGATATACATAGAATCCGACCTCGTGGGGGTTCAAAAGCAGAACAAAGAGGGTCGGTTAAAGGAATGCTTACTGCATTCGGATCCCCGTCAAGTGAGTTCGCACTACGATGGAGACCGCGGGATAAAGATGAACATGAAAATGATCGCAGCATACTGATAACGTACTGTAAGGTGTTGCAAAGCGTCGCCAACACATGGCATACTTTCCAATAGAGAATGCCCGGGATCCAGTAAGGGTTAGATAGGGTGTGAGTATGAGAAAGCGGCTATGCAATATGTAGTTCCGATCACAGGAGACTATGCGACCCATGTCTGTGTCGGCTCCGAGATAATATGGGGCGGGAGGCCACTGTCCTAGCCTTCCACTTTTCAAATGCTAAGAGCCTGGGATCAAGCGGATCACCGCCTTTGTAAAGGTTCAAAGTTTAAAATGCAGCCTGCCCGTCCAGCTTCTCATACAAATGTGTGGGAAGTGAGAAGTATCTGGCACGCAGGTGAGAACTTTTATCACACGTACACGCGACGACTGTCGGTTTGATCCTGGGAGCTCCGTTGAGCATCGCAAGTTAGTCATTGCTCCGCCGACACTGGAGGGTGATGTGTTCGCACGACGAGTCCCATGCTTCTAATATTCACTGGGCTAGATGCTAGCGCGTGTCGGGATTGCTATTTGTCACGTCGGTGAACCAACAACCACCGACCCGAAGCTCACCGATCAAGGGATACCGACTGGAATCAATGATGGGCGCCACCTCCAGATACCATTCCACAAAAAAATGCACTAAACACAAACTAAACACCAATTCGTCCCAATCGCCAAACTGTCGTTCTCTTGATCTTGATCACCCTACCTTGATCGGAAAGACAAAGTATAGGGAAAAAGGAACAGAACGCTATTGTCAATCGACAATCATATCTCCGACAATATGATAATAGTTGTAGCTGTGCCTAGAAGTTTTCCCATTTGTCAGGCCTTCGGAATAATGTTCAGAGAAGACATTCTGGACCATGGACCTCGCACGAGATCTGTCCTTGGGCGAAAAGGCATTCCCGAGCCGGAAGCGGAGGGATCCGTTGATAAGCATGCTCCAACTCCTTGTGCTCGCCGTCTTCGTTGGCAGTTCAAGGTCTCTATTGACAGAGAAGAGAGCAAAAGACGGCCCTGCATGGACTGCATATATATCCTGCACGTAAAAGAAACGTCGTCTGCACACCAGGACCGTTCTTCCAGGAACAAGCCAATCTCTTGCAGCCAGCAAACAGGCCTTATAAAACAAGCTCTACGATTATCATACATCAGTGAGATGAACGACGTGGTTCGTGTTGCTTCTAGGAAAAACATTCCGTTTACGGGCAGGTGGTTGGGTCCCAATCCGTCGCAAGACCTGCGAGGACCATGATTGAGATGACCACGTTTTGTCATTCGCGGAGCTTGGAGAACGACAATACCTTCATCGAGACTATCGAGACCGCCAATCTCATCATCAGCCAAATTAAAATCGAATATGTCCGTGTTGGATAACATGCGCGTCTTCGACGAAGACTTTGGAAGAGGCACGTAGCCCTTCTGCAATGAATAGCGAAGCAGGACCTGAGCAGGTTCTTTTTGGTATTTCTTAGCTAAAGATTTGATCGCAGGATGTGTGAATCGTAGACCTCTAACGAGAGGTGCCCAAGCCTAAAGCAGAAGAGAAATCAGCGTGATGTTATCCATGACGTTGGGTATCTTATAGCACGGCACCTCGAGAGCAATGTTATGCTTTTTGCAAAACATTACAATATCACTTCGCACCTGAAACGGATGCAAATCGATCTGTTCATAGCGGTGATTAGCGGATCGAGCAGACCAGATACCAGGCTTGCAAGGAGATCTACCTGATGGACCGCCGGCACTGGCAGTTCTTCGTCCAGAAGGTCTTGGATATGCCGGATCCCGAAGGTACTAATGCCGATGCTTTTCAGATGACCTTCCTTCTGGGTGTCACAAATCGCTCGCCAACTGTCCTTTCGCGCTTGTGGACCTCCAAGGGGGCCGTGAATCAGATAGAGGTCAATGTACCCTAATCCGCAAGTGTCTAGGGACCGTTTAATAGCTTTCTTGGTTTGGGCATATCCGCGATTCATCTTCAGCTTCGTCGTGAAGAACACACTGGATCTTGGCACTTGCGCCTTGCGACAGAAGTCGAGAATAGCTTGACCGCATTCTCTTTCGTTTTCATACCACTCGGCAGAGTCCTAACAGAAGATAAACTCGTGTTTCAGAGAACCATAGCACGATGATACGAACGATATGGCGATATCCAATCTGGTTAAGGTTCAAAATCAGTTGAATCTAACCATCGATGAAATCGAGACTATATCGACTTCTAGTGCACACGTAACGGCGTTGTACGCATCCACACCATACAGCTCATAGGTACCTGTTCATTCACGCTCATGATCAGTCACTGAATGGTACTTACATGCACAACATACCGAAACCGAGAATCGGTATTCCGTTTCCGTCACGGAGCTGAAAGAACATCAGCGAGACACATCAGGCATTATTAAAAAAATTTAGCCTTAAGTCTCGAGTCTAACTGAAGCATACCCATTGTAGCTATTGACCGTACTCTCTGGGTGAATGTCGCTGTATACTTGGAACAACACAACAGCATTGTTGTAATATCGGTCGGAATCTAAAGTTTGTGCGGAGTTGTGGGGCGATGACGAGCTTGATTATTTATCGACGCCGACACGGAACTAATAACGGCGCCTTGTATTGTACAAGTGGCGAGGAACATGCATAATATGCAGGTATGATGTCGGTAAAAAGATGTTCAACGACGGCAAAGACGTTGTTCCCCAAGCCACCCTCCGTTCTGCGATGACAGGAATTTACATTGGTGCAATGATAAACTAGAAAATGTTAAAATGTACGCATCCATCTTCAAACTCCGACAGCCGTAGTGCCAGTGCCGAAAGTTAAATTTTAATGTCAGCTACGCCGGCCGCAGCGGCACGTCACTTCACCTCGAACTATCACCACCATGGCATCATCTGCTTTGCCGCTGAAAGTAAACCCTCCTGCAACACCGAAAGCAACGCCAAAGACCCAAGAGAAGGAAAAGGACGCAACGCCAGTGCCAGCGGATCCAAAAGCACCGGCGGGAGCAGTGAAGGATATATCTAGCCCTCATGAACTGACCGCTTTTGTACGTGCATTGTCGCCGGGAGAAGGCCCAATTTTCTTGCTTGAACTTTTTGCGTACAGGTCGAGACGTTACTGGAGAATCTGGACGCAAAGTTCGACGAGATGTCGACACAAATTCTAGATCGCAGTACGTTGTTTCTGGGTAACGTGAATTGCTTATGCTTCGACCTACAGTGTCGCAAATGTCAACAAGGGTAGACGCTCTTGAAGCCTCTATTCAAGATATAATAAACGGCGATATCAGTGTGCCGCAATCTCCTTCGCCTGGCCCTGGCGTCCGAAGGAGCGATAGCGGGAATTAACCGACCGCAGTGAGCTGGTATTACCTATGGAGGATCTTCTTCACGACTGACTATCCATAGGATATATCTTGCATAATATGTAGCAATATAGCCTATTAACACTGGACGATATCGATACCCTGCCACTGTGTACAAATATAATCATCTGATATTCGTATTACGCGTCAGCCGCAGACAATCTCAGCCAATCTTCAAGTTATGCTTTCCAAGGCTGGACCAGTATGGCCTAGGAGTTCAAGTTAGCACAGGTTGCCAACCATGATGCCAGGGCGGCGTACCTCTCAGTCCAACAACCGTTTTCCCACCTGCGTCTCTTCTGTGCCGCCATCGCCGCCGTCGCTTGACTGTGTCCAGAAAGAGCCTTTCAGGCTTCCTGCATAGTACACGTTGTTCGACAAGTCTTCATACGTTACCGAGCTCGCTGTCTCGCTGAACGACGTCTTGTTACTACTGCTTCCGCCGTTTCCTCCCACACAAATGAAGAAGAAACAGACTCCAGCGGAAGCCGACGTTTGCTTGAACTCCTGATAGGTCTTTGTGTCGGAGAACTCCATCGTGAAGATCGGGCGATAGATAATGAGCGCAATGTCGTTGTACTCGGCGGCGGGACCAGGGCTGTCCTGGTTGCCAAACCATTTGTTGAAGGATTCTGTCGCATTGGCATCGACCTCCTTGTCGTTCTCGTCAGTGTCGGTTTGTCCGATGTTGGCCATCAGACTCGCGACACGGAAGCCATCGAACCAGGTACCCCGCTGGATGGGGAGAAGTGCAGCCTTCCATGCGATGCTAAAACTCTTCATCTTCAGTTCGGTTGATGTGCTGCTCTTGCTAGTGTCGCCCCCACCTCCGATCGAGACATCCCCGATCCCAAAGCTGACCCCACCACCCCCGTTGTCGGTTTCTCCTTGAACGCTTCCAGAATTTGAGGAACTGATGTAGGAGAAATATCCTGGGGGAACTTTGAATGTAGCACTTCCGCTGCTCGAACTGTTGCCTCCAGAGTTGTCAGTGCCTTCTCCCGTCGTACCGTCATCCGTGTCTCCTCCTGTGTCATCACCCGTGTCTCCTCCTGTATCGCCACCCGTGTCCCCTCCAGTGTCACTCCCGGAGTCGCCTCCGGCATCCCCTCCCGAAGCGCCACCTCCAGTGCCCTTCCCGTCGCCCTTTTTCCCATCTCCAGTTCCGGTCTTCCTCTTTCTCATACCACCCGAGTCCTCACTGCCTCCAGATTCAGCCTGCTCTCTCCATGCCGCCACAGTACCCTTAGCTCCAGGAAGGTCGTAATACGGTACCGCATCCGATTTTCCATACACTGATCCTGTCCCTGATCCGAGCATCATAGTGACACCTGGGATATTGACCTGTGCATCGTCTAACGGCTCGATGTTGGTCGTAGCAAGATGGATTGGGCCCCGGTATCTGCCAAAGACCTCGTCGGCGAGATTGTTGTACTTGCTGAGCGCCGCTTGACACTCGTCGTACGTCATCTTGTAATCGGCGTAACCGGTCGTAACCCATGTATCGAAATCCGAGACGCCATCGCTGAGTTGTTTCATTTGTTCGTAGTAGTAGCGCGCTTTTTCGGTGACGTTGGCGAGCTGTACGGTACACAGCGTGGACTGCAAGTTGGCCCATTTCTGGAGCTCCTCCGTTTGGGCTTTGGTAACTTCCTGGCCCGAGAAGATGTCGCCAATTTCTTTGGTGAACTGGATGTATTGGTCACTGAAGAAGTTAACGTGATTGTCCTTCGACCACGAGATCTTATCGAAGAGTTCGTATACGTCGTTATTAGCGACAGCGATTGCAGTGTCAGCGGCGCTGCTGTCAGAGCTCCCAGAACTTGATCCTCCAGAACCTGAACTTGAGTCTTCGGAGCTTGTTACCCCAGAATCTGTACCATCAGAACCAGTGTCTTCAGAGCTGTCATCTCCACTGTTCGAGTCCCCGGAAGTATCAGAGCCTCCAGAATCTGTATCATCTTGTCGGCTGACCAAGACGCTACCCATGAGCTCGTCGTCACACCTTTTCCACCACTCTTCCTCCCCGTCATCCTCACCAATGTCCCTCTTACTAGCTTGATCCGTCAATCCATCACCTTCCGCGCCTGTACCATCCACGTTGCCTGTCATAACATCCATTCCAGCCGAACTACCTGAATCGCTTCCACCAGAGTTCGAGTCATCAGCTACACCCCGTGTGTCGATGACAATTGCGCGCCACGCCGTCTCTGCGATGAACATCGCACCCTTCTGCGTGTTCTGTGTGGCGAGGTAGGCTTGGAGGGATTTCCCCATGTAGTCCCTGACGCTCTGGATGTCTTGGTTCTGGTCAGGATCAGAGGAAGGGTCACCGTCCCGTGGATGGATGTAAAGGGCTGGAAGAGCAGCAGCGTGCAGAGAGAAGAGGATGGCTGTGAGGTGGACGGCGGTGCGCAACCTGGCGACCATGATGAGGAGAAAACGAGGATTTTATTGGTTCCTCTTTGCGGTATTGTGATTATGTGGGAGGGGTCGGAAGCGTCCAGCGCGATCCGTTTGGCACGTCCTGCGTGAGGGAAGGAAGGGTGCAGGGTGATGCGGTTATAAGTCTGGAGGCACGGGGTGCAGATCACAGCCTTCCAAACGGGAAGCGCGACGGTAGTGCAGGTCGGTGCAGTGCAGGTCGCCATCAGGGTGTCCGCGACGCCGCCGGAGCCCAGCGCAACACACCTTTTGACTAATGTCAGTTCTTTTCAAAACGCCGTCATTGTGTCGATCGATTCCAGTTCAATTTTCGTACCCGAATGCGCCAGCCAATAAGTATTCGTTTAGTGAGCGATATGCTGGTGGAGTCGTGAGCTTCCTATCTTCCATCGGTGTTTACGGACCATCTCGACATTCTTCCGCTATTTGCTTTGCGACTGGACTTGTTCGTATCGACGGGGTCTCCCACTGTTGTTACCAAGTGCCATCGAATTCAAAACATACCCTACTTCTGAGCATCTTTTCAGGAGATCTTGGGATGAAGGTAACCACGACAAGTAGCGGGTGATGGCGTATTGAACGACTTTCTTATCTTCATATGGATCGTTGAGTCAGAGACTAGTGATGGTGAGCCCTAAGTATCAGTGTTGGAAAGAATAGGTGGTTATTGAGCGAGACACTGGCAGGTGTCGTGCTCCTAGACGTTCTGAACGTCTGTAAATGAATTGTTATGGTTGATTTCAATGTGTGTGAATCGCGTAACTAAGCAGAACGATGGTCGGAGGGTGCCTACTTTAGGTCTGCTGGAACCAGTGCTGCTTCAGAATGGTAAGGCCGGTGCCGAGAAAGTACAAGGCAAGAGAGGACGACTGGTGGGCATTCAATGACTACAATAGAGTTTCATGTACCTCACCAGAACTTTCAGTACTCAGTATTGGATATATTACAAGGGGCAGAGAATTGACAAAAGTCGCTTTCCAACTGATAGCTGTTCCTGTTTCATACACTCAGCTTCTGAGGTAAGCACTTGTCAATTGTCTGGGCATGCTTTCTCTTCTCATCGTGTCCCCAAAATTCTAGCCAAAGCATCATCAAGTATAATACCCTTGTGTTTCTGGAACTATGTTCAGCGGTCTTTACAAAGCTTTTCAGTGGCCGCTGAGTCAATCTTCCCGAGCATAATGCTCCGTTCTCTTCGTGCTGAACATGGCTAATGCAGTAGCACGCTTCGCCGAAGTCGACCCTTGTAGCGACCTCAGTCATCGCAATCAGAGTCGGTTTCACAACTCACCAAGCACGTAACAGCATGCAGCTAACCGAGGCCCACCTCCCCGTGTAGGGTGGACGCTGATACTCTATGGCACTATAAAACGCAAAGGAGATGATGGTAATTTAAATATCGTGCAGAACATGGACCAAGTAGCGCAAATCCAGGGAAGAGAAATAAACAACATCTTCCTACCCAGTACGTTTTGTTCCCTTCAGCCTTTGCTGCCAAAGACATCCGCGACGTCATGCCATGGGTCGTGTCGTTGACAATCTTCCGTTTAAATCCGACATCTACGTCCTCGGCCACTCCGCAGGGGCGATGAACATGTTCACTCTTCTCGTTCTCCCAGAACTGTACTCTCCCTCCCTGCATCGCAGGATCAAAGGCGCAATCCTCTTGGCAGGGCCGTACACCTTTGAAGATATGCCAGCAGATATGAAGGATGCAACGAGGCTGTATTGCGGCGAAGACGCAGAAGCGGAGGGAACCTTTCCTTTGGCTTTCTTGAATTCAGCAAAAGACGACGAAGCTGTTCTGACCCGGAGGAGGTCATTGGGTATCGCGGAAAGGTATTTCCCTCGTTTGACGCCTGCTTTGGAGAAATTGTTTCAAGTGAAAGAACCACACTGACGTGGTTGGGCCCTTTCGCGACGAATTCGTCATACGCCTCCCTCTTCTCCAGTAGGCAAGGAGAGGAGTGGGCGGAGGGTGTAGTTGACTGGATTCGTGATATGGCTGAGCATCCTGCGTAGCTTGAGACTTATCTACAACGCATTGAAAATATCCCAAAGGGATATTATGTTACCAAGCGAAGGTTTTTCGATGACGTATAGTACGGCCGAGGAATGCGAGGGCGACATACACATCGCAAAGCTTGAATTTTTTCAGCGCGGTGCGCATCGCCTACAATGAGCTCCCAACCATGTCTGAAATGGACACTTGACCACAAGTTGGTTGTTTGCCCGACATTCCGAGAGGTTTCATTACAAACGAAAACTTGAACCACACAGGACCTTCTGCCACTAAGATTTGTGCAAGTTGGATTACTGCTACCCACACCGGAGGACCTAAAGCACATACACCGTGAAGGCCATGACTACACCGCAGAGTGTGGTAGCGATGTAAACCGGAGTCGTAAGGAGTGGCATCGTTGGTGCCGAATCCGATGAGGAAGTGGGTGACCCAGCCGCAGTCGAGGATGCAGATGCAGACGTGGACGATGCAGTAGAAGAACTGGACGACCTAGGCGTAGCCGAACTCGAAGTAGAGCTCGTTGTAGTGGTGGCGGTGCTAAGGCTGTTTGTAGATGGAGGCTGCACGCCCCCGGTATACGAGAAGGTGTTGATGCTGTTAGCCTACTAGCCCGTGACATCAATGATGTCGAGCTCTTCCGGAGCTTGGGTGCATGTGTTCACTATGCAGGAGGAGAGGAAGGATATAGCGCGCCCGTCTTGGAGGTAGTTATGGCGCTGATGCAAGTGCGATGGGAAGAAGAGATACTCAGGTAGCATCCATCTTCTCCTGGGTGCTTCCGTGGTTGTTGCAGTATTGGTCGTCTGGGTTTATATCTAGGTGCGCGCTCTGGTACTTGGACTGGATAGCATCAGGACAGGACTCCGCAAGAAGAGAGAGATACTCTCGCGCACTTGAGAGAGCTTGAAAAAACATTACTCTTTGTTCAACGGCCGGAAGAGTAAGAATGCTTACCTGCAGGAAATTGTGTTGGTACTGGGGGCATGATGACACCAGTCAGAACGATCGCTTTCATGTCGAACGCGGATAGGGAAAAGTTGCGAGGAGACCCGCTCGAAAGGCAGTGCGATACGGCTGGAGACTTATGGGTAGATTGTTGGCCTTCATATAAATGGCCACCATGGCAAGGGCAATGCCATACAGAGCACTCGGGAAACGGGGAAACGGGATCTTCGTCTGTCGATGAACAGTTGAAGCGCGGGAGCATCACCGGCCTTGACATAGGCTGCAGGGCTGTTTATGTTACTACTAGGCACTGCATGTAACAATATCGAAACTGATGCTCACTGTTACGAACTGATATTCCTTCTCCAACATTATCAACCAGATTCATTGTAGGAGAACGAGTCTTACTCACCAGGAATATTCTACGCTGCACATAAAGAAATCCCGCTCCGACCAAATACTCACTTGATACGTCTTCCAATTCCCATTTTTAAGCATCTGGCACCCAGACTGATAGGATCGAAAATGTCCTAGCCTTGTAATGAAGAGATTGGATGGCAGCATCATCCATCTGTATGATATCGTGCTGCTCGCAACTAGCGCAAGGTCTCAATAACTTGAAGGAACGGCCCAGCGGTACCGGTAAGTTATTAGTGATTTAATTTTAAGGTTAATTAATTGCCTAAAACGCGTATCACGTGATTGATTCCAGACCGGCTGAGACCCGTCATGGTCACTGTCAGTGTCTTGTCTCTGCACCATCATAGTCAACAATGGGCGCATCTCGGGAAATCATCAATCTTCAGGTAGAGCATTTCTCTCCGATTGTCCCAATTCCATCACTGATGAGGAGATATAGGTCGGCCAGGTGCGATGCCCGACTCTGGGAGATATCGTTCCATGTTGACTTTGTTTTTAGGCAGGCAACCAAGTCGGAGAAAACTTTTGGACAATGATCCTTGCCGAACATGGAATTGACACTTCAGGAGTACGTCGTTCCTTTCGGGGATTCATCGATTCAGCTCAGCGTTTGTAGGTGTACAGAGGAAAGAATGACCTGGAGCTCCAACGGGTACGTAACCTTCTGATTTTTTTCCCATTTCATGTCATGAAAGGAATCGCAGGTTGGAACGTACTTTACAGAGGTAGAATTATCCGGCCAGTATCGATATGTTCCTCGATCCATCCAAGTCGATCTAGAGGCTGGTGTTTTAGACAGGGTAGACCCATCTAGTTGTATCGTTGAAGATCTGGACTGAGCCTTTCTCTTAGCTGAGGAGCGGCAAGTTGGGCAATTTATTTCGACCCGATACGTTTGTCTCCGGCGAGCCGGGCGCAGGAAACAACTGGGCTAAAGGATGTATGTGGCGCGTAGCTGAAAAAAAAAGATAACTTAAGCTGATCTATTCTCATAGTCTACACTGAAGGTCATTCGTTGCTGAGATCTTTCTTATTCTTTACGTTTACTCAACAACAGATTCGTAGGCGCCGAGCTTGTAGACGGGATTCTAGTCAGTACGCTGTTTCACCAAAGTTCCTGTACGGTCTAAAATATTTCTTGTAGGAGACCATCAGGAGGCAATCAGAAGCTTGTGATGCTCTACAAGGGTTCCAGCTCCTCCACTCATTGGGAGGAGGAACTGGATCGGGCCTTGGATGTTTATTGCTCTCAAAGTTGCGAGAAGTACGTTTCGACACTTCTTCCTCTGAACCACATTAACAAGACTCTAGGAATACCCCGATCGTATGCTTGCTACCTTTTCTATCATGCCTTCGCCTAAAGTTTCGGAAACCGTTGTCGAAGTATGTGCCCCCCGCTATTACTATGTCTTGTTCTCACCAATAAGCCGGGTTTAGCCGTATAATGCGATGCTCTCTACACATCAACTTTTGGACACGACTGACTTGACGATTTGCATTGACAATGAAGCGCTATACGATATAAACCAACGAATCTTACATATCAAGAGCCCATCGTTTAGCGATTTGAACCAGGCAAGTCCAGTTTTTATGTATAGTGACCCTGTCAACAACCGTGCATGCATAGGTGATTTCGAAGGTGATGTGTGGAGTCAGCACGAGTCTCCGCTTCCCTGGCCAGCTCAATGGGTTAGGCCCTTTTACGCATTCCGTGGTATGAAACTTACCTTCCTTACAGCGACTTGCGGAAACTAGGAATGAATCTAGTTCCGTTCCCTCGGGTTTGTGTGTCCATTTCGCATAGCATTTTCTCTGATTTTGTCCTAGCTGCATTTCCTCATGCCAAGTTACGCGCCTCTGTTTGATCCAAAGTCCAGGTCGTTCGAAAGGATGAGCGTGCCGGAACTGACCACCGCGTAAGACTGGTTCCCTGGACTGAAATTCGGCTTAACGTCTTGCAGGCTTTTCGATCGCAGAAATCTACTAGTGGCCTGCGATCCACGATTTGGGTATGCCGAAACCTCATGCAACTTGTCTTTTCTCTTAACCTTCCTCTATCAGGCGCTACCTTACAGCATACACAATTTTCCGAGGACAGATCTCCTCACGCGAAGTAAGAGTTCCTTTCGTACAGGATCGGCCTTGCTCATGAATTTATCTTTACAGGCCGAAGTGGGTGCACTGTAGTTTGAATCTCGAACACTCCTCTTACAGTATCAGGTTGCGGTCCATGATCTTCAAAGCAAGAACTCTCAACAGTTCGTCGAGTGAGTGCATCTAATCAAAAATGTACTCCGTGTAACAACTAAATGGCCTTCTCTAGATGGATTCCCGACAACGTTTCTGTGTCCATAGTACGGGTCCCTCCCGTGGGTCAGAAACAGGTTGGTGTATATGTCCTGTGCATTTCGGTCTCTCACCTATCTGCTAGGCTGCCACGGGACTTGCAAACTCCACCTCTATTCAGGAATTATTCCAGCGTACTCTGGATTCGGTGCGTTGACGAATGACCACACATGCAGATATTAATATGGCACTATCAGTTTTCTCTGATGTTCAAGCGTCGCGCCTTTATGCACTGGTAAGGGATTCTTTGGTTTCTAAATCACCTTTCTCATCATATCTGAAGGTACACTGGCGAAGGGATGGATCCAATGGAGTTCACAGAGGCGGAAAGCAACACGCTAGATCTCATGTATGTGCCAGAGCGATGCTGTGAAGGATATGACTCTCATCCCGCTTTAGAGCGGAATACCAACAGTATCAAGAGGCCACGCTGGAAGATGAAGAGGAGTACCTCGAGGAGGAGGGTGCAGAGTATGTGGAAGAGGAATTGGCGATACAATAACGCCAATTGTGTCGTACCATCTATCGAGTGCACGTTACTGATCTACCTTCACGCCTCTTTGTGTATTGGACAGGTTTTTACTCGGACTGTACTTTTCGTAACTTGACAATTCCATGTTAATTCTTTAGGCAGGAGGTGTTATCGTGATCGCACCTATGACCAGTGGGAAACGTACAATTCTTGCACCAAATTTTTATCAAGGTTTCCTTATGAATGACGTCGCGTGCTGTTCCTGCACTTCAACAGGAGCTGCAATATCAAGAGGCCACGGTAGAAGATGAAGAGGAGTACCTTGAGGAGGAGGGCGCAGAGTATGTGGAAGAGGAATTGGCGGAAGGAGAGCAATAACGCCAATTGCGTCGGACTCAAGACTGTAGATTGCGTAATTTGACAATTCTATGCCGTACCGGTGTCACCGGCAATTCTTCAGGCAAAAGGTGCGTTCGTGATCGCACTTATGACCAGTAGGAAATGTACAATTATTACACCAAATCTCTTATCAGTGTTCCGTTATCTTTGGGGACCGAGGACACTGACAATTTTTTATTTCCTTGTACCATGACCGGACCCGCAGATTTGCTCAAGCTGAAAGCACATATCGCCGCTTCGTATCCTGACTTTGAGGCGAATGTCACAAAGGCATGGAAAGAGGTCATTGACGAACTAGCGGTGGTCACCGAGACTATTAGTGAACAAGGCGCCAACGTATGTATGCTTGGTTAACTGTCTTATCATATATGCTCACGCCGGTTGGACAGTACCTGCCTCAGCTTGAATTCGCTGACTTGTCAGATTTAACTGAGGCGCAGAAGACAGAGATCAAGAGCAAGGGATGCGTTGTCATCCGTAATGTGATAGAAGACCAACAAGCCATCACATGGAGGCACGGCCTTCAGGATTTCGTTGCGGCGAATCCTGACGTCGAGGGGTTTCCGAGTGAAGATAAACAGTTCTTCCAGTTGTTGTGGGTGTGCCAATATTGTGCGAACCCAACCCGCTTTTGACCCTTTTCAGCTGGACGAAACCACAGATAGAAGCTCGCGCACATCCAAATATGCTCAGGGTATCAACCTGGTTGAACCAGATTTATCACTATGACGGCGAGCTGGCAAGAGACGGGGCAGTGGATCTGTCTGAGCCTCTGAGCTATGCCGATCGGCTCAGGATGAGGCATCCTGGAGTGCACTGGGACATCCATCCGCCACATGTTGACGGTAAGCGCAGATGCTGTCCATTTGATTCCCGTAGTGACGGACCATGGTGTAGGTGGAGCGATTGAACGGTGGGAAGATCCATCGTTCCGGTCGGTCTTCAAGGATATCTTCGAAGGCAATTGGAAGAAACACGATCCGTACGATCTGCGCGGAAGGATTAATGCGAAAAGCTCGTTGCATAACAGAGTAGGACAGGTATGTATCCGCCATTAATGGTAACAGCATGGAGTTGTAACATAATCCTTTAAAAGGCTACGATCTTCCGAACCTTTCAGGGATGGCTTGCGATTAGGTATGTGTTTACAGTATAAAGAACTGGGATACTGGTTCCATTCCCGCAACTATTACAGCAAAACCGCACCGACAGAAGGCACTATTCAATTCTTCTCGAACGTCATCATGAGTAATGTGTATATCATGCTGCGACCGTTCTTTCGACCTCTCGTCCCTGCCGACTCTCCCGACATCTTGAAGGCCGAGAGCTGGCAGTATGGTAGGTACATCTCCAACCCCGCGCGTTCCAATTGACCATATCTTCCCACAGACATCTCGACACCGGACTTTCCTGGAATCATTCCCAGGGACAGCGGTTATACCGGGCCAAGGCCGACACCTGACCTGCATCCTCACCTCAGACTCGAGAAAACCATGATTTCAGTGCCGAAGGTTCTTCCAGGTGACACCGTGTTTTGGCATTGCGATATGGTTCATGCCGTCGAAGCCGAACATACCGGAAAGGAAGATTCTTGTGGTGTGTTATTCCTCTGCAGTGGCGCCCGGTTTGATATTGAACAGCGATGCAGTGATGTATATCCCCTCAGTGCCTCTCACGCCAATGAACAAATCGTACATTGAGAGACAGAGAGACAGCTTTTTGAAAGGAATCAGGCCACCTGATTTCCCTCCTGGTATCAAAAATGAGCACGAATTTGTTGGTATGGGCTCGGCCGTAGATATATTGGAACCTGCGGGGAGAAGAGCGATGCTGTTGCCCGTATCTGTAGCATGACTGAATTGCGAAACGAAATGTTAATTAGTTTATCACCCAAGTTGATCGCCCTGCTAATAGGCAGGCCGATAGAGTCAAACCACGCTTCTTGGGCTGAAGACTGTTAGCGGATCAAGTTACATGGATAAACGAGTATTTCACCAGCAGCCCTTGACTCAGGCAATTGATATTCTCCTACGACGTCGTGGACTGGATTTAAAAAGCTGATTCAGGTCCAAAACCGGATGATCACCTTACCTTGGAAATCCATGAACACGCCGGCAATACTGCGCTCGGGTGTTAGGCCTCTTGTAGGCACCAATGGAAAGATGGACATGACAGAATCAAGACAGACCGATAGTTCGACTAGTCGAGACACAGAACAGACCCTAGGCTTGATGCCGGAACTCCGGAAAGTATAAGTCAAATATTAATAATAAGAGTGAAGGGGGGACGCTTGTAAAAAGGGCGGTATAACCTTGCAAATTTGGGTGACGCAGAAGGAAATCCCCCTTGGCCCGGTGGATCATTGCGTACATGTCATGCGGTGAATCACTCGCCGAGGGTTTGGTGGATAGCGAGAGAAAATCCAAGGGTTTAGGTAAGTACTTAATGATACCGAAGATTGTCATGATCTAACGCCGACCGAGGGTCCCAAAAGTGAGTCTCTGAACAGCGGCTAAGTACTGAGAGTAGTCAGCAAAAAATTGGATGAGTATGGCAGACTTACACTTGCCGACAAAACTCGCAAATTTGCTGTGTACTTGAGGACTACGGCTCTTCAATTCGTTGTGCCTAATGATTCTGCTAAGGCGCAGTCCCCGTGGTTTCGAGGTTTGCAATTGGCTGCTGCCATATGGCACGGAGGATTCAATGACGTATCGTTCCTCCTCTCCAACCGGTGGCTGACCAAGCAGAACCCATTGCGTTCTATCACTGTAATTCTCCGTTCCTTCAAGTTACAACCCAGACCTCGGTCGGTAACTGGAAAATACCTCTAGGCGAGACGTATACATCGTCAATTCGGACAACCGCAACATTGTTAAACTCCACCTTTGGTTCATGAATCTTAATCTTAATCATCACCCGGGCTTTTCGAAGGACTTCTGGACTTTGAAGGCATTCGAGTCGCCTAGTGCCGGGCCGTTGACTGAAGTTTGCTTATGTCCTAGTAGTCTTTTGGCCTTGTTATTGATGTAATGTGGCTCATTTCAAGCCCCACTTTTTGGCTTCGTCTTGGAATGGGGATGAAGCCCTGATGTTCTGGAAGAATCCTGTTGCCTTCTTGAACCTTTTCCGTCACTGCGCTTTATGTTTCGACTATAAAGCGCCGCCCAAATAGCATAGATGTATCAACCATGGAGCCCACTTCTCTGTTTATCGTCGCGCTTCTTGCCATTGCCATCATTATTTTAATCTCCAGGCAAAAACGTTCTGTCGTCAACCAGCTTCGGGGTCCTCCTGTGGATTCCTGGCTTCTCGGTAAGTCTCATCCTCTGGTGTGACATCGCATGCTTATCCCGTCTTTCAAGGTAATGAATATGCAATCAAGCATCAAGACCAAGTCGGCGATTTAGACTTTCCTTGGTATCGTGAATACGGTGCAGCCTTCCGTGGAGCTGTTTGCTATGGCGTCAGTATCTGCATTTTCCCTGCAGGAAGATATCTGATTTATAATCTAGCAAGATGTATTGGTTCTTGGCGATGCGAAAGGTCTACAGCACGTCCTTCACGGCTCTGGGTACCGTTATCCCAAACTCCCCGATACAGATTATAACATGAATATCCTATTTGGGCGGGGAATCGTCACCGTAGCTGGTGCAGTTACATGTCAATTCGTCGACTCTTTGTTACTCAATATGTTTCTGCTAGGATCTATTCATCAACGGCACCGGAAAGTTATGAATCCCGCTTTCTCTGCAGCACAACTTCGGACGTTTCTCGGCGTCTTCCAACGATCAGCGAAGAAGGTGCATCTGCCTGATAGATCTTTATTTGTGATGGACATCTAACAGGGGTTGCTTAGTTCTCTGGAAAACTCACCGACATGGCTGAAAACGGACAACTGAATATTGATACGAAGCTATGGCTTGGCAAACTGACTTTGGACATTATTGGCGAAAGTGAGTCCGTTCTGAGAGATACCGTTACCAAGTACTGATATTAAAAGGTGCCTTTGGATACAAATACGGCGCGGTAGATGACGAAAATGATAAACTGGCTAATATATTAAGCACTTTATTGTTCGTGACATCAATTTCTTTAACGATCTCTTTTGCTCATTTCCTTTCAGCTATGATGCGGGAGCACTTCCTTCCCGTGCTGGAATACTGTTTTCGGCATTGCCTAGAATCATGCCAAAGCCCCTCCTTCAACTCATGGATCTCATTCCTTCCCGGCAAAAGACGCATTTCTCAAGTTTCAATGTCGCTGCCAAAAAGGTTGGACGAGAACTTTTCAAAGAGAATGTGGAGGGGAAAGATTTCGATTCATCTTCCGGCAAGGACGTTCTCAGCATCTTAGGTGAGTCACTATCATCGGCCCAGTGTACTCGAGCGAACTAACTTTCGTAGCGCGGGCCAACGCCCAGGAAGAAGAGAAGAAGAGGTTGAGTGACGATGAAGTCCTTGCTCAGATAGCGTCAGCTCATCTCTTTCCGACCTGATGCCATAATGTTGACTCTTTGCAATGATAGGACACTTACCTTGGCAGGACACGAGACAACTGCATCTACGCTTACCTGGACTCTATTCGAACTATGCAATCACCCTGCGCAGCAAGATCGTATTCGGGCAGAAATAGCGCAAGTCCGGAGCCGGTATCAAACCAAAGGCGAACTCACTTCGGCGGATTACGATAGTATGCCGTTTATGAATGCTGTGATCAAGGTGTGTATCCCTCTTCCTCCGCTTCCTCTGAGTCGTGCACTTATAGATTGGGGCTGGTAGGAAACTCTTCGATTCCATCCTATCGTTCCCACCCTGTTTCGTGTCGCAGCTTGCGATGATATCATCCCACTTGCTGATCCAGTCACCACTTCTACGGGAGTCAAACTCACTGAAATCCACGTGGAGAAGGGCCAGCTGGTTGAGATTGGAATCGGTTACTACAATCGGTTAGTGGTAAAAGCTTACGTTCTGATTCGAGTCTACAGTCCCTTACGGACACTTTCAGTAATCCAACGGTGTGGGGCTCTGATGCCGACGTTTGGAATCCAGATCGATTCTTGGGTCAACTGGATAAGCAGACTACAGTTGGAGTTTATGCTAACCTGTAAGTATGTTTCGGTTCGTCAAGAAAACAACTCTCATTTCTTGATTTCTAGTCTCTCTTTCAGTAAGTTAGCATTATGATCTTTGAAAACATCTATCTCAATACTACCACTAGGCGCTGGAGTCCGCGCTTGCATCGGCTGGCGTTTCGCGTAAGTCCTCCTTCCCTTCCTATACATGACTCATGCTTATGTCGTATTGTTCCAGCGTTATGGAGCTGCAAGTCATCCTGTTTGAACTGCTCGAGTCTTTCGAGTTTGCTCTCCCTAATGCAAGCATCGACATCAAGCGACAACATGCCGGGTTGATGATTCCCATGGTGCGGGATGAGATGTCTAAAGGTACTCAGATGCCGATGCGCTTGATTCCGAGCCCCATCTAATGACTGAAGTCGTTTTCTTTATCCATGTACAATAGCTACTGATTATCTGTGTACTGACTCTGTAAACAAATGGACATACATGTACCTGCCTGATTCAATATAGGTGTAATGAACTCAGAAACTCGGAGAGAACATATCTGATTCCTGACCGATAAGAGAGTAAAAACCTTTATCAGAGGCCGCAAAACACGGGTAGTTATTACACAGGTTGAATATACACAGAGGATGTCGGAGGTCCACAGAACGCTACGTCAGACTCTGCATTCTGTTAACTTGTCAGAACGATGTTTTATACTTCTAGGTGTTTTGAGTGACATCTGCTGCATTGCACATCCTACAATTGTAATAGCAGAAGAATATAGGTAGCAGTCTCAGTCGGGCACAGCATAAGTGAAACGACTGTATTGGATGAGTACTATACCTAATAGCAGAAGAATATAAGTAACTGTTGGAAATCTTGGGTGTTGCACAGGGTAGACTCCAGGCTGGTAAGGCCAGATAGAATGAACTTGTTATTCTACAGCTCCTACAGAGCTTGTATTTATACTCTCCAGGCTTATATCTAGAATTTACTACAACTTTCTCTTTCTCTCGAGCTTACTCATCAACTCTCGGCATGATGCCGGATTGCCCTTTCTAGAACTTTCCGGCAAAATCCTAACAGTAACGGTCTATGAAGGAGTGTGAGTGATATAGTAGAGAGCACGATACCGGTATACATACCTCAGTCGGGCATAGCGTAGGTGAAATGACTGAAGTTTACGGGTATTTACGGCCAGGCTATATATAGGTGCGACAGGGGGCATGTATATATGGTAAGTAAGAATAGGTGATAGTCAAAAGAGTGACGATCGAAAGGGTAATAGTATGGGTATACGTACGGATATCCTCCAACAAACTGAGTCCCAAAGCCCTGACTTGACTTGGAATTATTGTCACGTTTATCCTGAAGCTCGACGATGGATCATTATGACTGGCAGCTTTCGCGTGCTAATGCCACAATCTGAGCAGATCGCACGTGTATATCGGGATATTTGCGCACTGTTTTTTCAAATCTAAGATCTAAGATTCGTGAAAGGAGGATTAAAAAGCTGGTTCAGTTTTGCGAAAGAAAAACTGGCTTGCAACTGGCCGAACTTTAAAGACCGAAACAAAAGGAGTACTTGAATCTTTTTGTGAAACCCAGTGATAATAAAAATATCTAGACTAAAATAAAAGACTTTGCTGGAGGTAGGACTGCTCAAAACGACACCGGTTGTTCTGCATGGAAAAGACGCACAAGGGGATACCGGTCCGAACTCCGGCAAAACCCGAAAGTCACGTATCCTTGAGTTCGTTTAACTGAATTCGTTCGCCTAGGAGTAGTATAACTCGCATACCTAGTCATCAGTCGGTAACCTAGGTACCCCCAGATGCCTCGTATATATTGTCAATTCAGACGCATGCCGGAACAACTGTAACATCTACCGTGGCCTTTTCATCGACGCTCGGTGTAAAGAATTCTCCCTTCTAAAGACATTCGAGTCTCGTGTCGGGCCGTTGACTCAGTTCTGCTTATGAGCGAGAAGCCGTTCGCTCTCGTCATTGCGGCTCATCTATCCCCTTAGTATGGGAATGAAGTTTGATATCAGAAGAATCGTGTTACTTCCTGCCTGACTTGGATTGATTTCTCTCTTTGTTCTTTCGACCGGCCCTGAATGTACTTGTAACCGAGGTTAGACTTCGATATTTATCATATTAGCAAGACGACACTCAGGAAGTAACCGCCAGCCGCTAATGAGTCACATCTGCTCAAAATATGACTCGGCATGTGCTGCGATTCTATTATTGTAGAGATGTGATTACTTTTTCCGTCTCTAGCACATTTCCGACTATAAAACCCACGCTGTCCGAAACTTAAAGGTGTCTCAACTATGCATCCCACGTCTTTGTTTATCGTCTCGCTTCTCGCCATTATCACCGCCATTTGTACCTCCAAACGAAAGCGTTCTGGCGTAAAGCAGCTTCGTGGTCCTACTGTGGACTCCTGGCTTCTTGGTGAGCATCTTCGTTCCTGACCATGGCTTCTCTGACTTCGGGCTGTCAAGGTCATGACTATGCCGTTCAGTATCAAGACCAAGTTGGCGATCTAGAGTATGCTTGGTTTCGTGAATATGGTGCGGCCTTCCGTGGAGCTGCTCCCTATGGTGTCAGTATCTTCATGTACGTTGTCACAGCAACGTTTCTAAATTTAATGCAGCAAAGTGTATTGTTTCTTGGCGATGCGAAAGGTCTACAGCACGTCCTTCATGGTTCTGGATACCGTTATCCCAAAACCCCCGATTCCGATTATAACACGAATATTCTATTTGGGAAGGGGATCGCCACAGTAGCTGGTTCGTTTACATTTCAAATTCTTGACAGTCCTTGCTAACTTAAACTTGTCCTCTAGGATCCGTTCACCAACGGCATAGGAAAGTCATGAATCCCGCTTTCTCCGCAGCCCAACTTCGGACTTTCCTTAGTCTTTTCCAACGATCAGCCAAGAAGGTGCCTCCGACTCTGAAGTTGATGGCATACAGTCTTAATCTGCGTATCTAGTTCTCTGGAAAGCTCATTGCCATTGTCGACGGAGGAGAGTCGAGTATTAATATAGCTCCTTGGCTTGGCAAGCTGACTTTGGACATTATTGGCACAAGTGAGTCTGTTCTGGAGGGATGCCCTTCTTCCGTACTGACGGTTAGTAAAGGTGCATTTGGATACGAATACGGCGCCCTTGACGACGAGAATAACAAGCTCGCTAATACACTGAACAATTTATTGTTCCTAGCACTGTAACAAACATTGGACTACTTTGTTTGCTCATTTTCTTTCAGCCATGACTCAGAACTCCTTCTGTCCCGTGCCGCGATACTGTTTGCCACCCTGCCAAGAGTCCTGCCAAAGTCCCTCATCCAAATCTTGGACCTCATTCCTTCCCGGCGAAAAAAACATTTCTCCAATTTCAAGGTTGCTGCACAAAATGCGGGACGGGAAGTGCTCAAGGAGAACGTCGAGGGGAATGATTTAGATTCGTCCACCGGCAAGGATGTTCTCAGCATCTTAGGTGAGTCACTGTTATTGGCCCAGTGTACTCGAGCGAACTAACTTTCGTAGCGCGGGCCAACGCCCAGGAAGAAGAGAAGAAGAGGTTGAGCGACGATGAAGTCCTTGCTCAGATAGCGTCAGCTTATCTCTTTCCGTCCTGACACCATAATGTTGACTCTTTGCAATGATAGGACACTTACCTTGGCAGGACACGAGACAACTGCATCTACGCTTACCTGGACTCTATTCGAACTATGCAATCACCCTGCGCAGCAAGATCGTATTCGGGCAGAAATAGCGCAAGTCCGGAGCCGGTATCAAACCAAAGGCGAACTCACTTCGGCGGATTACGATAGTATGCCGTTTATGAATGCTGTGATCAAGGTGTGTAGTATTTCGTCCTCTGCTCACTTACCAATTCGGTATACCGGCAGGAAACTCTCCGATTCCATCCTATTGTTCCCAGCTTGTTACGCAGTGCTGCTTGTGACGACGTAATCCCACTTACAGACCCAGTCATCACATCTGCAGGAGTCAAGCTCACTGAAATATCTGTGGAGAAGGGCCAGCTTGTTGACATTTCAATCGGATATTACAATCGGTTAGGATAACCAACCTTAGTGTTTGTTTACTCACGGATGCGTCCAGTAATCCAACGGTATGGGGCTCCGATGCCGATGTTTGGAATCCAGATCGATTCTTGGGTGAACTGGACAAGCAGACGCCACTCGGGGTTTTTGCTAATCTGTAAGTTTGCCGATATTTTGGTATTATTCTCCAGAAAACAGATCTTATTTCTTATGTTTTTTTTAATAGTCTGACCTTCAGTAAGTCAGCGTATCGATCTTAAAAACATGTCATTCAACACAACCGAAAGGTGCTGGAGTCCGCTCCTGTATCGGCTGGCGTTTCGCGTGAGTTCCCGTCTCTCCTTATTTATCATCATCTGGGCTCATGTTGCATTATTCCAGCGTTATGGAACTGCAAGTCATCTTATTCGAGCTTCTCGAATCATTCAAGTTCTCCTTCCCCAAAGCAGGTATCGACATCAAGCGGAAGCCTGCTGGGATAATGATTCCCGTGGTAGGGGATGAGATGTCCAAAGGTACTCAAATGCCACTACGCCTGATTCCGAGTCCCATCCAGTATTGAAGACGTTTGTTCAATACTGTACTACTGTTGTTGATCGATATGCATATTTTCATTGAACAATATGCAGACAAATGGACGTAAGCGTACTGGATTTAGAGATTAAGATATATATCGCATCTTACGGTAGGCATTCCACATCTTCTTGGCATACCAACTCTTGCTAGATTTCAGATGTATTTGCGATGTTCAGGTTTGTGTGATACTTCGTGGTCGACGCTGGCGGGAAAAATTAGCACAAGAGTGATCAATCCTTTCCTACCGAACATACTGGACAAACGCTCGCTCGACCATCGGCAGCGTCTCGAGTTTATCTTGGAGGTCCTGGCTCAGGTCATGCGATTTCCATAGAGGTGTGTCACTTGGCATAACGATCTTTTAGAGGTATCAGTCCACGTTGTCCCAATTAAATTGAGAAACTTGCATCGACTTCGACGAGGAATTTCTGGGAGAACAATGAATGATAGGTAGCTGAAACGGTATTTTGAGGACCTACATACCTCCCCACTGTGGTATGCTCTGCAAGAATCGATCTGCTTGATCTCATCGCTGAATGTGAGCGTCTTATAAATGACCAGTTGGGTAAATTCATGAGGGGCAGCCTTTCCAGCGAGGTAGCCGAACTGGACTGGTGCAACGCAATATGAGTATGATAAGGAAAATCATATGAGAGAACGCACTGTATGAGGTGTATGTCCACGAAACGATAATGACACATGAAATAATAATAGCGCCCATAGGATCAATCCACCACTTAAGCTTGGCACCGGCACTACTTGTGAGAATGCCAAACCCACTAGCAAAATGGAATCAGACATTGGCTACAACGCAAACAAGCCGACATACTTGATTAAGAGATCATTCCGATGATCCTCCCAAAGTACCTGAACCTGCGAGCTCGAGTTGCGGATCGAGAAGCAGTACAAAAAGAGAAGCACTTTTGTGACTAATGCATTTGTATTAACGGAACACTTTTCGCGAATAACAAAGTAAGCTCCCCACCAAAAGCGATGCCGACAGCAATGACGGAGGGAACATTGAAATCTAGAGTTTCTCCGTCCTTATGGGTGGAGAGGTCTTGAATCGAGAAAGCCTTGATGCGGTTAATCACAAAATGCATTCCCGGTAGGGGTGCGGACGTACGACCAGGAGGATGCTGACGGAAAGCATGGCGAACGAGTACACAATGTTACCGATAGTGGTTAAACGAGCACCACCCTGATGAAGGGAATATATCAACCAAACAACGCGGAAGCGACACCACATACGCTAGGGTATTTAACAAAGTCCACGCTCCTCGACTTGTGATGGAGCAGGTTCAGGAGCAGGTTTGCGACGGGGTCAAAGACAGAATCGGCAGCAGCTATACGAACCTCAGCAAGTTGTACGCCCAGAAATATCCTTGTACTCACTAGCGAAGAAAGACAGAGATAAAGACGATATAGCAGCGTAGAGCTGTAGAACAGATAATACGCAATTTGCGATAAACGAAGCGTATACGGCAATTTTGACCTGCAATCACCCAGATCATCAGCCACGTTTCTTCTTCACATGTGGCGCACACGACAAACCTTCAAGGCGTTCTCCTTCATGCCCTCTTCGCCACCCTGGGCATGGCTCTCCATGGTCTACTCGACGAAGAGAAACATCATAATACAATACAGCTTCGAATCTCTGCAACAAACCTTCAATAGCGCATCAATCTTCTCATTCTGCATCTCGTAAAACTTGCCAATATGGCGCTGTTTGCGTGGGTTCCATCGTCTGCGCAGAGCAGCCACGTCATCTGGGTCTCGCAGAGCAGCTCTCAGCCTGAAAGGATCGTCGACAGGGTTCTCGGACAACGTGCTTTCCACATCAGGGACAGAGGTACCCGACCGAGCGGGGGATACTGGAGGTGTCGGAGGGGTACAGCCTGGCTCATAGGGAGAGGGAAGGATGATAAAAGACATCGGAGAAGAAAGGCAAAGAAGTTTTGCCGCCGCCGCTTTTTTATGACTATTCGCAAGTTACCGAAGCAGAAAATGCTTGGCGTGATAACAAGTATTCATGCAGGCGCCCCATAGCGCCATGAGAGAAGTGGGAGGTGCCTTTGGGGAGGTTGAAGGTGAATTTGGAGAGTGACCAAGTGCCAGTGGACTCTGGTACCGAATCGTTGGGTTCAATATTATATTGGCCTACCGATCTGCCGGGTCAGTCCAGAGCACTGGTACGGCCATCCCGATCCTCTGTCGATAACGTACCAAATACAGGTTTACATTTGCTCTTTCGCGTCCTCTAGATTAAGCAAGTATACATCCAGGTCGTCGTTGAAGAAGAATGCAGAGAGGTTAGTGCAAGAGAATTCAAGCAGAATTCAAATTCCGAAGCTGGCATCGGCCCGGGAACCCGGAGTTTCGAAATTGCAATCATCTCCGTATTTTACCGTTTTGACGGACAAATCGGTGGTACAAAGCGGTGGCCCGGATGCAGAAGGTTCCAAAGTAACCAGCACGTCTGATTGACAAAAGGCAGAATAGCTCGATACGAACACATAAATGCAATGTAAGCGTTTGTGGTCGTACCCTTTTCGAGCGTTGTAACAAAGCTCTCCTTTTTGTCGTAGCAATCCTTTGTCAAATGCTGTAACTGTTGCTGTGAGGAATCCTTCCGCAGACGGCCTCCAAGGATCCTTTGTTCTTAAGCCCGGAAGAGGTTAAAGGTGGGCTGATTGCGATTTTTGATTTACCGCTTTAGACTCTTTCAGGCCTGTTTCGTACCGTTCCTTTATACTTCTGACTAATCCGTTGCGAGAAAGGGCCTTCCAGCACAAAATGTAAAGCTCTTTTGTTCTATGCACAGCAAGTCGCCCATAAAAGAGGGTCTCCCCAATGTCTGCACTCAACTTTCTTGTCCTTCAGTTTCTCATTTTCCTCCCGTACGTCCAAGCCTCCATGATAGAATTAAAGAAACACTTATAATACTGTGCACAGGAAACACGTTCATTGTCTGATGAATTCCTTTCCGCAAGAGATCATCGACTCCATCATCGATGAAATACCACGCACCGAGCCCTTTACCAACCTCAAAAGTTGTTCTTTAGTGGCAAAAGCTTTCCGCCGTCAAGCCCAGGGCAACTTCTTTCCGTATTCCTTCTGCGCGATCACGCTACCCATCCGAGCTCGATCCCCCGACCTGTCTTCTGAACTAAAACGCTGCGAAGCCTTTTACGAGCTTATTCAAGGAAACCCCGACATCGCTAAACATGTTCGACATGTCACGTTCAAGGATGTGGACTTGTTTGATGCGATCGAAGCACATGAAAGGCATAGAGTGGAGTTCATGGACAAGACTCGGCATCTGGTAGACCATACGCTACATCTCGTCTTAAACAAACTCGTCAAGCTGGAGACCCTCGAGCTGCACTTCTTCGATCTATCGAGGATATCGACTAAATTCGTCGCTGCCCTCTTGGCACGTCCAGTCACCCACCTCATATTGGATGACGTCTTCATTCATCACATCGAGGACCTGCTCACTCTGATCCGGACTTCACCGGAGTTGCGCTCATTGGCCCTGGGGAAGATAACCTTGCTGGATTATGAATACCAGCGCCGAAATCTGCCGTATGAGACGGAGAGACTCACTCTGAGCTACAGCGAATTAGCATCGTCCCGTGGTCCGTGCAGCCCAGCTGAAGTGGAGACCGTGATATTTGAATTATCCGAGGCTTCAGTCTTACGAAGTATGGAGGCGTTAAGCCGTCCCGAGTCTCCCATCTCCTTCGATAGGATCGAAAACTTTGAGGTGTATTCCAAAGCGGCATACGAAAATACTCCTGGCTCTGTGAACGATGCTTTGGCCGAGATATCGATTTGGCTGGGTAGCTTTCCTCGTCTCCGCAAGTGCGTTCTTCCGCTACTCATTCCCAGTAAGGCATCTTTTTCTGCATCTAAACGTTGCTGATTTTGACCCTCATTCACAGGAGACCACCAAAACCGACCAGATGCACTAGGACCAGCTCTCCACATCAAACATGTTGAATCCCTACGCGTCGTCTTCAACCTAAACAGCACTGAGGATATTATAGCATCTTTGGATTGGTGGACAAACAACTTCGAAATGGCCTGCGGCCAGGATTGCATGATCCAAGAGATCGTACTCGAGTTCTCCATCATGGCGGAGGATTGGGATATCTCCGAGATCGACTTTGTAGAGGGCAATTGGTGGTACCTCGATGATCTCTTTGTCGACAATGATAAAGGTCCTAAGATGCCTTTGCTCAGAAATGTTTCGATTGATTTCCGTTCCGACGGGGGGTTTGAAATACGTACGAGGCAGCGTGTGGGGTTCTATAATCGAATGGTAGAACTCCTTCCAAGCATTGATTGGTCGTGAAAGTACTTAGTTGTAATGCACGTGTACTATTATCTTCCCTCGGGACTAGGCACACATTCAGATGCTTGCTATCAGTTCTCAGAGTGGGACTGCCCCTAAGCGGGATGTCGTAACCTTTGACCTAATCCCTTATCTTTTAGCCTATATCGAATGCATGGACCGTGTCTGTGTACGACATATTCTTGGCTGTCAGGTGCAATTCTCGGGCTTTACTGGCTTTGTCGCTGCTTTTCCTCAGTCCGCAAGGGCTTAATCGCCCTTGTACCATTGTATAACACTTCACGGCACCGAGTACTCACATATACCGTCGTATCACTAAGGTCCATGATGGTACGAACGTGTTTACATCTCATATCAGAAAGACGGGGGTATTCGTATCTACCGCAATCGTACTTTCAACCCTGAACCAGTTTGATGGGAGCCTAGTGTTATTTATTTGTCCTTACGGTATACCTTCCTGGCATACCAACTCGTGCCAGATTTCAGATGTATTTGCGATGTTCAGGTTTGTGTGACACTTCATGGTCGACGCTGGCGGGAAAAGTTAGCATAAGAGTGATCAATCCTTTCCTACTGAACATACTGGACAAATGCTCGTTCAACCATCGGCAGTGTCTCCAGTTTATCTTGGAGATCCTGACTCAGGTCATGCGATTTCCACAGAGGTGTGTCGCTTGGCATAACGATCTTTTAGAGGTATCAGTCCGTGTGGTTCCATTAAATTGAGAAACTTGCGTCGACTTCGACGAGGAATTTCTGGGAAAGAAATGAGTCGCCGAAATATGTCTGTGCATTGAGAACCACATACCTCTCCACTGTGATATGCCCTACAAGAGTCAATCTGCTTAATCTCGTCACTGAACGTGAGCGTCTTATAGATGACCAGTTGGGTAAATTCATGAGGAGCGGCCTTTCCAGCGAGATAGCCGAATTGGACTGAAGAAAAGACGCAGTATGAGCCTGCAAGGGAAAACGATATGGGAGAACGCACTGTATGATGTGCGTGTCCACGAAGTGATAATGACACATGAAATAATAATGGCGCCCATAGGATCAATCCACCACCTAAGCTTGGCACCGGCACTACTTGTGAGAATACCAAACCCACTACAAAAATGGAATCAGACATTGGCTACAACGCAAACAAGCCGACATACTTGATTAAGAGATCATTCCGATGATCCTCCCATAGTACCTGAACCTGCGAGCTCGAGTTGCGGATCGAGAAGCAGTACAGAAAAAGGAACACTTTCGTGACTAAGATATGTGTTAACGAAACACTTTTCACGAGATAACAAAATAGGTTCCCTACCAAAAGCGACGCCGACAGCAATGACTGAATGGACATGGAAGCCTAGAGTTTCCCCTTTCTTATGGGTTACGAGGTTTTGGACAGAGAAAGCCTGGACGAAATAAGTCACAGACTTCATACTGATGCCAGACATACAACGAGGAGAACGCTGACGGAAAGCATGGAGAATGCATACGCGATATTGCCGACAGTCGTTAAACGAGCGCCACCCTGATGAACCAAATATATCAACTAAAAGGCCCAGAAATGACACCACATACACCGGGGTATTTATAAAAGTCCACACGCTTCGACTTGCGATGGAGCTGGTTCAAGAGCAAGTTCGCGAGGGGATCGGAGACTGAATCTGCAGCAGCTATACAGATGTCAGTAAACTATACGTGAGGGGTCGGACACATCCTTGAACCCACTAGCAAAAAAAGACAGAGAAAGAGACGATATAGCAGCATACAGCTGCAGAATAGATAGCGTGCAGTTGGCAATGAGCGAAGCGTATACGGCAATTTTGACCTGCAGTTACTCAAACTATGAGCCACGTTCCCAAATTACATGTGACGCAGATACATGCCTTCAGTGCGCTATCCCTCGTGTCATCTCTTCCTTCCTGAGCGTGATTCTCCAGACTCTATACAAAAGAAAACACAGGAGACCCCCATGACCAACAATTGAACAAACCTTCAACAATGCATCAATCTTCTCATTCTGGGTCTCGTAAAACTTCCCTATGTGACGTTGTTTGCGCGAGTTCCACCGCTTACGCAGAGCAGCCACGTCGTCTGGGTCTCGTAAAGCAGTCCTCAGACCAAATGGATCGTCAACTGGAATATTGGCCGTTGATAACGAGCTCTCCACGTCAGAAACTCTGGGAGCCGACCGTACTGGAGATAAAGGTGGTGTCAAGGGATTTCCCACGGAGCTCGATTCAGGAAACTTTCGAGTTTCTGAGGGGGAACCAGCAAATGATGGGGGCTCCATATCGATGGGAGGAAAGGGAGTAGGAGTGCAGAAGAGTTCTGCTATCTCCGTTTTATATGATGTGGACCCGTCCGCAAATTCCCGGGGTAGATACATTTGGGATAACAGCATGTGTTTGCCTCTAGCTACGAGTATTTTGGGAAGGAAGCCTAGAAGATACTGTCGAAGGATACGACGGATACGACAGTGAGGGGTGAGATCTTGAATTGCTCAACCTGATACCAAAGCGTCGGGTTCAACGTCGCTGCCCTACCGATCAGCCGGGTCAACCCAGAGCACTGGTAATTCTGGTCGAGGTTAAGTTCCAAATCCGTGCAATTATGGAAAGACTCTGACCAGCCATGTTTGTGTTCATTAGCTGTATCGCGAAGGAGAGGCCACGCCAAAACTGATTTCCAAATGTAGAACAATATTCCCCCGGTTGGTATGGGCAACATTATGTTGGCTTCTTGTTAGCCATGGTGGTAAGAAGTAAAGAGGAATGGTGGGCTACCAGTGGAACTAATTTTGAGAACGAATCAAGAAAAAAAGGAGTTACAACCTGAGGCAAGATTACTTAGAAGAGAAATATTTCTATACTTTTCATTGTTACCATTGGACCTCATCCACTCACTCTGCAAAGGAAAATAGATGCGTAAAATCACTGCTAATTAACAGTTCATTTTGTAGCAGAGCAACAAACAGAGAAAGCTGTACAAATAGTGTACTAGTGCCCTAGTGCATTGAAATTGATATAATGTGACATTCTGTCTCTCCAGTCCATCCTCTCTCTGTATACTAAGATTACAATCAGAAATATCAAAAAACAAGATAAAAAAATGCACCTAAATGAAATATCAGCATAATGATCACCAACAGATGATCTGAACCACTACATACAGGGAACTGGACAAAGGCATTATTATCACTGCTATCTCTCAAGTCAAACTTGAAGTCTAGATTCACAATGGATAGACTTTTGGGGAGATCAACATTTGTGAATGCCTTCAAGGACAGAAAGTATGGTGAATAAGACATAGAGAGGTGGTTGTTTATTGTAGGTGATGTTTAGGCTCTGGCGACACAGACGGTATCGGTGGACCGGATCTGGAGTTGGCGGGGGAGCGCGACCGTGAGCTGGCCGCTAAAGATGCTGCTCTCGAGCGTGGTAGCATCGTCCTGGAAGTCGTCGGTGCAGGAAGGGCATCCATGGGTAAGTAGTGTAAATGGAAGATGCCGGCTGAGTAACCGACCGACAGCCGTCGGCAAGAGCAAGTCGAAAAGGAAATGATTCGGAGCCCGCTGGAAAATGCCGGTTAAACGATCGAGCGGGCCGCTGCTGCCGCAAGTTGATTCTTGAACTTTGCTTCGCTTCAGTCTTCTTCAAAAGAGCTCTTCTTGTTCTTTCTTCCTACAATTTGGGAACGCCACTATTTCCATTGTTATCTCCCTACTAGGGCACCTTTAAACGGGAGTGGCACAATGCAATTTCTTCATTTGGGACCAGCCTCGCTTCACGCTGAAATCCAATATATAACGGATGAATTGGAGGTCCTGTTCTCTCATCACTTTCTTCCTAATTTCTGCTCTCTTCTCACATATTTTCCTAATGTCAGACTCTACCCGTGACGGTGCTCGAACTCCCAACCAACCCGTCGTTGCTCCCAACGCCGACGCCCCCCTGTCAGTTGGACACACTCTGATTAAAAAGAAAGCTGCTGGTCACGGACCGTTTGCTGTCAAAAACCTCGCGATGATAGACAGGCGTCTTGAGCTCGCTGAAGAGACGCGTGGCATGGCCCAGAGCCCGATGCCAGCCCGCGACTTTATGAATGAGTTCTTGCCGTGGAACGAAACCACTCCGATGCAATTCAGAAAGCTCCAGCCCAACAAAGAACAACTGAAGAAATTGACGGACATGGCTACCGCTTCCGAAGCCAAAACCTACGAATTATTTGTAGGTTCTTCAAGATAGCTTATGCTACAATTGTCTAATATTTGCTACAGCTCGAAACTTTCTCTGGCTGGCCTTTTGATCTCAAACCAGAAGACCGACGTCCGAGATATGCGCATTGTGTTCTTCAGTGGAATGACAGCCATGCCACCCCGGATAAGTTCTGTGATTCGCTCTCTGTGGACGTCAACGCCGTCGATGTCAGTCGCCCGACTATCAGGCGTTGCGACGCGCGCAAGCTCGATTTTGCTAACGTCGAGACTCACACCGAAATGAAGCCCAAGGTGTGGGATGATCCTTACTGTGACGGAGATGCTGTATCGGGCGGCGAAGAAGACGACAATGAAGACATTGAACGATACGAGGGGAATGATGCCTCAGCTGATAAAGTGGAGGATGAGGACAATGGCGCCCAAGCTGACGAATGCGAAGAAGACTATCTGCCTGAAGATCTGGGAGAACTTGACGTTGCAAATGACGAAGATCCCAAGAAAGGTATGGCTGGGGAGCCAACTGAGGAGGAAGAACAAGCCAGTGACACCGAACCCTTGCCTGATGAGGACTACCCTTTCGATAACAACACCCTTCGTGGTCAACGTACTCGCGGTCAGATCTGTGCTTACGCTGGGGCAACGATGACCATGCAATTCCGGACTCATCTGTTCACAGTCCTCATCTTCGGTCCCTACGCGCGGCTGCTTCGGTGGGACCGCTCCTCTGTAATCGTCAGCCGTCGGTTCAATTACGTTGAGTATCCACTTATTCTGTTCCGATTCTACAAACGCTTCGCCCAGCTTACCCTCGCACAACGCGGCCGTGATCGTAGAATATCTATCCCCACGAAGGTCCAAGGCCGCAGTGCAAGGGCTGCATTCAAGCGGTATGCTCCTGAATGCTGGCGAGGCAAGGCGTTGGACGAAGTTAGAGAGGAGATGAGCGTGAATCAGCTTGCCCTTTTGCGATTAACGGTTGGCTCAGGGCCTAGTCAACGAGTTTTCATCATTGGCGCGCCTCGTTGGCATCAGGGTGGATATTCTCCTTTGGGAAGAGCCACCCGGCACGGCATGGCTTATTGCGTGCGCAAGAGCCAGACGCTGTTTTATAAGGATTATTGGAGGGAGGACGCCCCCCACACTGTACCAGAGTCTGAGGTCTATCATCTCCTTGCGAAACATGAGATTCCGCATGTCGCTCAAATGGAATTTGGTGGTGACAGTGGTTTCGAGACTGTGGGTCATAGCTACGGGTCGAAGGCCTGGGCACGCGCGCACCACCGAATTCGGCATCTTATCGGGCATCTCATTGTCCTCGTTACTAAAGGTCGCCCGTTGGAATCGTTCGAAACCGCAAAGCAGCTTGTCTCCTGTGTCGCTGACGCCATGGAAGGTATGTGTATTCATGGGTTTGAGCCCTACACTCACTGACTGTGAATGGTTGACAGCGCACCAAAAAGCCTATGAGCTCGCAGGGATTCTACACCGGGATATCAGCGTTGGGAACATCATGATGACTCTGAATCGGGAAGATAGACGAGGGATTTTGATTGATTGGGACCACTGTGTCCT